TTGGCAGGCAAAGTATTCCTTGAGTCCTCTCTTAAAAAGCTTACAAGCTGAAAGGCTTTTTATTTCACTTTAACAGCAAAAAATATTCAATGGAGAGGAGAAAGGAAATGACTAGAAAGCTGAAGGAAGGCTAAAGGGAAACAACCAAGAGTGTTGTTTGAGCTCTGTATTCTGATGCTGTTTCTTTACAAAGAATATTTAAACAATGCTGTCACCGTAAAAATACATAATTAACACACTGTTTTAAATATCCGTAAAGACTACATAGGCCGTCTCTTTGTCGTGTAAGAGCTGTAATCACAAAGTAAATCCCTGGATATTCCCCAGGAGACTACTATAAGTGCGGATCAAGGACCAGCAGTCTCAGCATCACCTGGGAACTTGGTATACATGCCGAATGTTGGCCTCACCTTGACCTACAGGGTTGGAATCAAATTTGAACAGGTGATTCTTAGGTACACTAAAGTTTGAAAAGTACTACTCTAAATAGCTTTTGGTGTACTCTGGGAGAGAGGTCTGTACAGGTCAACTCCGCTGAGAGCTTTGCCTGGAGATTCAGAGCCCCTGGTACTTGCCCTCTGAGAACAGAAGGGGGAGCCCTAATCCCCCAAATGCCAGATCTTTCAACTGGTTGCAGCTGCTCCTGTTCTTTGCAGGCCAGGCGGGGTGAAATGGGACTATTAGAAACAGCACAAGGAGAGGAAGGAAAACTGAAAGACCTGCAGCCCCTTGCTGGGATTCGGGGCAGCAAGGGAATCTGGCAATACCTTAGAGCTTCCCAGATGGACAGAATCAGAGCAGAAAGAAAACAGGATGGGAGACTAGGGAAGAACTATGTAGTCTTTGTGCTTCTGCTTTTATTTATCATTCTCTGAGTCTCCCTGATTATTTTTCATCTCTTAAAAAAAAATTTCCACTACATGTCTGCTTTCTGCTTTTGTTCTTCCCTGGAAAATAATGATAAAAATAATGATAATATTTTACATCCACATGATGCTATATACTATCTGGTACATAATAGATACAAGAGTATTCCATAGAACACAATTTTATGCATGTTTTACAAGTGAGAAATATTCTATACCTTTTCTCCCATATTCTTTATCAGGTTATCTTAAAAAGTAGCTCTTGTTTTCCATTCATTTTGGCAAATTTTAGAGGGTTTTTTGTTTTGTTTTGTTTTGTTTTGTTTTGTTTTCCTGCACAGAGTCATCTGCAGAGTTCCTGGAATAGTGAGGATGGGGAGGAGGCTTAATAGCAAAAGTCTGGGGGGTGAAAGACTGCATAGGAAGAATTTTAAAAAGTGTAAGAGCTTCATGCTCTGACATGGTGATGACTCAACAAAACACAAATGATTTCCCGGGCTCTATCTGAATCATCCACTTCACTCATTTGCTTTGAAAATGAATATAAGTTTGAAGACAATGGGAAAAGGGAGGCATGAAATGTACAATCTGAGTCCCTGGCAAACTGTGTTTTATTCAAATTCTTAGTCTTTATAATTTGTTTCACTTCCATTTTGATTTATTTAATAAATATTGCAAAACCAAAGTGATCCATAAGCTTTGTAGCCATGCCACAGAGTGAACTTTCCTGTTCTAAATGAGATTGCTAAAGAGTTCAAACAGAAGCTTGAGAAGAAATAATTCAAAACTTCCTTGGACTCTTCAAGATGTCAGATCACCTGATTGCTCTGACACTAACTGCATATTTTACTCACTTTGACCGTGGTCTCTACCTGCAGACTGCATGAAAATAAAAAGGCCTTCTGGGGCCAAAAAGAATTTCAAATTCAGACAATGAACAAAAGATGTGCTTTAGATTCTTCAGTTACTGAAACTGAATAACTTATTTTCTTGAAAGCAAATAGAAAACAGAGCAGATTCCTAGAATTTCTTCAACTTGAAATAAATGCCTGAACATTGTATTCCCATTTTTCTTCACTTTAGGTATATTTCATTTTTGGATGTCATAAAATCCATAGACATGTGCAGTGAGTATTTTTGAATGAAAGGATAAATTGTGGGGTTTTTTGTTGACAAAGTCACACTCCACTCAGGAATGACTTTAAAGTCATTTAGCCAAGTCAGATTTTAAGAGCTTTTTACTTTTGTCTCCTGTGGGGTCAGCCTGTTCAGAGAGCAGAAGGCAGTAAGAAGAGATCTTTAGCTGGCCTGGCCCCAGGCCTACTTGCTCAGCAAAACAGAAGTGGGGAAAAAAGGCTTTCAGGAGTGAATATGATATCCCAGACACGATCAGAGAATGAGTCTGTGACCAGAGTCTTATAGGGACAGATGATAAAAGTGGATGCCAGGCAAGTGGCCAGACCTGGGGATTGGATTCTAAAACCAAGGAAGAAGAAAGCAGGTAGACAGGAATGGATGTCCTATCTGGCCTCTCAACCTAGGAGGAGCAAAACATACTCCTGATGTACTTGTTCAGGTGAAATTGGACACGAGTGTTCACATATGTCTGCTCTTTATAGAGCCACGTACAATCCCTAGCCAACATTCCACTCCACATGCTACAGGAGGCATCGCAACTGTTGTTAACAACAAGTGGAGAGAGGTCTTACATGCAAGCCCTCAAGAGCCCCTCAGCCGAAGAACAACTCACACAAGTGTGCACGATGGCAAGAAGAAACTCTTCTTCGATTGTCAGTGGAGAGCTACTCTCAGTATGACTTACAGGCTTAGTTTTTGAACATATTGTTTTACTGATGCCATAATGTTTTTCTTAATAGCACACGAGATTGGCATAAGAAAGTAAACTGCCAAGAAAAGTTGAAAGTAAAGTTCATTGTTCTGCTCAATGAGTCACAGTTACAAGCAAAGCCTTCAGAGTCACCACACCTCTGGGCTAGCACTCTGTAACACAGTGAGAGCCGGGGGGGGGGGGGGGGGGACCCACGGCTGAGAACCAGTCTGGAAAGACAAGACAGCTAAGCTGACCCCTGAGCTGTGGAGTGAGCACCTGTGGCAGCCTCCTGGCTACCAGAGACATTCCATTCTCCTACATACCCTCGGGGGAGTACCAGTTCCCCAGTGCCTTCTGACAAGACTGAACAAGAAGAAAACTGCTTTAGAACAGAAGAGATACATTTTAAAAGATACTTTTAAAGTTGGGGGGTGCATTTTCATACTATAATCCAGGGCTCTTCTGTAATCTAGCTTTCATTTCCTTCTCCTGATTTCATTCACTCAACAAGTATTTACTGATAGTTTCCTGAGCTAGGTGCTAAGGAGGTAGTGATAAAAACAGACAGAGTTAAGGCACCTGGGTGGCTCAGTGGTTAAGCATCTGCCTTGGGCTCAGGGCATGATCCCGGGGTGCTGGGATCAAGTCCCACATTGGGCTCCCTGGGCTCCTTGTGGAGAGCTTGCTCTCCTTCTGCCTATGTCCCCTGCCTTTCTCTGTGTCTCTCATGAGTGAATAAAAAAATAAAATCTTTAAAACAAAACAGACAGGGTAAGGTCTCTTCTCTCATGTGCCCTTCACTAGAAACAGAAAACCAATTACACAAAATGAATGTGACACCGTAACCATGATCACACTTCAAAGGAGAGGTATCTGATGCTATGAAAGCATGGAAGAGGGGATTTGACCTAATTAGGAAGCTCAGCTCAGGCTTCCAGGCCAGAACTTGAATTTGAAGGAAAAGCAAGTGAAAAAGCCAGAGAAGAGGTTCCACACAGAGGGACAGCAAGAGAAAAATTTCCTTCGATATCCCTCAATGTTGCAGCTCTTACCACTTTATTTCCAGTTCCCTGAGAATGCGAGACAAGGTGATATGGTGAAAAAGAAAGGAATTGGGAGCCAGTGGGCCTCATTCTAGTACTATGACAATGCTCGTACAGCCTTGAACGAGTTTATTTAGATTTTCTGAGCCTTAGTTTTGTCAACATAAAACAAGTATGATAAAACCCATCACAGGGGATCCCTGGGTGGCTCAGCGGTTTAGCGCCTGCCTTCAGCCCAGGGCCTGATCCTGGAGACCCGGGATCAAGTTCCACATCAGGCTCCCTGCATGGAGCCTGCTTCTCCTTCTGCCTGTGTCTCTGTCTCTCTCTCGGTGTGTCTCTCGTGAATAAATAAGTAAAATCTTAAAAAAAAAAAATCACACAATAAAAGTTAGTTCCTTCCTCCATTGGCTAATTTTCGATCTTTCTGAGCCTCAGCATCTTCACTGAAAAATAGAAGTAAGAATTATGCCTGCATCAGAGTTGATATTTAAATGGGTTCATTTGCAAACTCTAAAGAATTCGGTAGTTACCAGGTACTATTAATCAGTCATAAAATATTTGTGATACCTACTATGTACCAGACCTGTGATAGGTCCTTGAAAAATGGAAGGTAGACTGAAGCACAGCCTTGCCCTTAGGAGAGAGTTGCTGAAAGAGAAATTTATTCTTTCCTCTGGTCCAGGGAGAAAAGGCAGTAAGGGCAGAGGAAAAGGCCTCTGTGGTCTGCACAGGCATCTAAATTCCTGGCACTTGGCCCTCCCTGGGGGACATCTGATACCTTCCCCTCTGCCATCAGCTGAGAGTTTGCCCAGACGACCTGACCCAGGGACAGGCCTGCAGGATGGATTTCCAAATATTCCAAATAAGCACACAAGGGAATCTTACAACAAACAAAAAATGACTTGAGTGCAGTAGAAAAGTTGTTAGGCCGACCGATGAGGAAGAGGTTGTCACGAATGAGAAGGGTCACAACAGATTTCTGTGTTTTGCTGAAAGTGGAGTGAATAATCCAGATTCTCCGATTTTCAGCCCAGCCAGCCAGGCCTCTCTGCCTTTCTCTTTTGAGCTCCTTTTGTCTTATTTCCCTCTTCCTTCTGAGAAGATATACTGAATAAGGAGTAATTTCTTGCCTAACCATGATTCAAAAGGAAGCTCAGCCACAGAACAGGCAAGTGTGGGGTTGCCTAGAAAAAAAGGACATGTAGAGGCAGGTCTCAGAGAGATCCACCCAGGTTTTGCAAAAAAAGACACCTCCTTCACCACAAGTTCTAAGACCTTCCAAGTTCAGGAAGAAAGTATCAGCTTCCCCATTGATAACCAGGTGCAATGTACCCAGCAGGCCCAGTGTGAATGAACTGGAGGCTTCTCTACAACATGACCCATAGGGACAATGTGGATCCTGTTGGCAGCCTGAAGTTTGTGACTCTCTTGGTGGCCCTAATTCCAGAACTCTTATTCCTGGGAGCTGGAGTGAAGCTTCAGGACAATGGGTATGATGGATTACTCATTGCAATCAATCCTCAGGTATCTGAAGATCAGAACCTCATCCCAAACATTAAGGTAAGTGACAAGTGTGAAGTCAATACCATTATCCCATTAGGACAGGACTATATAGCCTTCTTTAAAGAGCTAACACCTTTGCCTGGTCTATATTTGAATAGTAAAGATGCCAGCATTTCTAGTAAGCACCAAAATTATAATTATGGCCAAGCCAGTTTGTTCACTTAATTCTGCACAGTCTTGGCTCATAGTGTTGATTTAGCCCTCCTTGATTTATTCTTGTTGGTGACTACTGCTTTTAGCGTTTTTGTTTTCCTAAATGACTATTTTTGGGGTAGCAGCTTAAAAATCTGGTCTTTGTGGCAACAAAGACCAGATGTTTGACTGATGAATAAGTATGATTGTACTTATCAAAATCAAGTTGTTGGATTCCATCCTGAGGCTGAAAATTCTGACAGAAAGAGAGTCTGGATGGAGTGCTGAAGAGCAAAATTCTTTTCACCTGAATGTTCTATAAAGTAATTGACTATTTTCACCTTAATGTGGTGCAGGAGGATCAGAACCCCATTACTTAAGAACCACTTGTTGGTATTGCTTTTAATAAATCAGTATTGTCATAGGTGTGGTCTCAAACATGCTAACAGGAGTGACAGGAAAGAGATTTATTTGGTAAAAGCTTAAAAGTCTTTCACAAACGTGGGAAAAATTACAAAGGCAAGCCCAGACTCACTGTTAGTGTCCTAAAATCTCTTCCAGTTTGAGTCTTATTTTGCTCCTAAGTTTTCCCAAAGTCTAAGTCCATCTCTAAAAGAAATGGGCTCCTTGAAAATATTTTCATTATCTTTTACTGCTACTTACTCAAGTATCACCAGGAAATCAAAAAACATAAAAGATCTACAAGCACCAAGATAAGCTTTTCTTTTATTTGGTTATAGGAAATGATAACCGAAGCTTCTTTTTACCTATTCAATGCTACCAAGAGAAGAGTGTTTTTCAGAAATATAAAGATTTTAATACCTGCTACATGGAAAGCTAATAATTACAGCAAAGTAAAACAAGAATTATATGAAAAGGTAAGAATCAGGATTTTCCTAAATGAGTTTAATTCTGGAGAAAAACAACCAATATAAACTCTGTTCAAACTTTAAAAGTGAGGACTTAGGCAAAAACAAGTCATTGATGTTAACATATAACTAATATTGGGAAGGTTGTTATTCACAAGATAAATGGAAATAAAATAAATGAGTACAAATTATGGAACAAAAAATACGTAAATGCCATTGCCCAAGTGGCCTCTCAGAAGACCTCCTCACTCTGTAACGTACAGTGTCCTTTCTGAAATTTTTGCTTAAAGACCCAAAGCTGGTTTTATCCTGTTGAGTATGAGCTGTGCAGGGAACAATTCCAATTATGACTACCTTCTTTTCCCATCCTGTCAGGGGCAGTAGACCTGCATGTCCAGGCAGAAACATGCTATAAAGTATGGCTGACTTTTCCTGGCAGGGTGTAAATTAACAGAATTTCACATGAGCCCAAGTCCAGGACACTGTTTTTGAGGAGTATGGTGATAAGAAGGAAGGCAGAAAGAGGGACACTAAGGGGAGGGGTTAGTTTTTCTTTTCCAACCAAAAAATAACTAAGGACTCTTGTAAGCTGCAGATCATAGTTAAGCATCCACGTCTGCGTGGTATACACAAATGTCAAATACATTTGGCAAATGACTGAAGTCACTGTGAATAAGAACCTGGGCAGCTAGCAGAAGGGGCAGGTACAGACACATTGAGCACTTAGCTTAGGACTTCAGCAGTGGAGTGGATTCTAGACCTGTAAACCACAGCTCAAACAGAAGGGCTGGGACATATGGTACAGTTTCCCCTTTTCCTCATTTGTGTCATTGGGTATGAAATTTTTTAAGATTATTTTAATTCTTAGCTTTCCATTGAAGTCCCTCTCTCAGTAATTGAATGGTACAGCAATCTGGATAGCACCCCAGTGTCCTGAAGAAGTTAAAGAGGCTCTTCAAACATTTGATTTATCGCCAGATGAAATCATTTAGCAATGCTCAGCCATGGAGCTAGGAAAGAGAGGAACTGAGATAAATTGGGAAGATAGTGTTTTGTTTTTGTTTTTAAAATTTGTTGGGATCCCTGGGTGGCACAGCGGTTTGGCGCCTGCCTTTGGCCCAGGGCGTGATCCTGGAGACCCGGGATCGAATCCCACGTCAGGCTCCTGGTGCATGGAGCCTGCTTCTCCCTCTGCCTGTGTCTCTGCCTCTCTCTCTCTCTCTGTGACTATCATAAATAATAAATAAAAAAAAAATTAAAAAAAATTATTTCTAAAAAAAAATAAAATAAAATAAAATAAAATAAAATAAAATAAAATAAAATAAAATAAAATTTGTTTCAGAAAGCAAGAGAGAGCATACAAGGAGAGGGAGGGGCAGAGAGAGAATCTCAAGCCAACTCCCCATTGAGCATGGAGCCAGGATACAGGGCTCAACGAGGGTCTCCACACGGGGCCTCAATCTCAGATCTTGAGATCATGACCTGAGCCGAAATCAAGAGTCAGATGTTTAATGGACTGAGCTACCCAGGTGCCCCTAGAAAGCCAGCATCTTTTAAAGCTTCCACTAAACACCAGGCATTTTACATATATTGTCTAGTTCTCACACACCTTAAAATTAGTTGCTATTACAAACTATTACCGTATGTTAGGAAACGGAAGTTAACGGAATAAAGTAAGGATTTTGTCCCAGTTAGTAAATTACTGAGCCATGATTTTGATCCATATCTATTTGCTTCCTAAACCCATGCTCTTTCTGCCAAGCTATGCCATCTCTAGCTATCTATATAGATGGTATTAATCATTTTGATCTTCTGTGAAATAACGAAGTATTGGAGATAATTAGTATCAAAACCAGGTCATACTCCTGATCCTAATGGAGGAGTAGGAAATAAATAATTAAAATAAAAATGATAATATTATTGAACTGAAAGATTAAAGGAAAGAATAAACATTGAGTGCTGTTTATATATCTGTTGGATACCGATTCCTTTAGCCTCATAATATCAATTAAGCAAACAGTGAATGATCATTATATACAGAGGTCATGCTAGGCACTGTAGAGGACAAAAAGAGAAGCAAGGTGGTTCTTGTCTGTGTGAATCCATAGTCAAATGCAGGTAGGAAACAGGGGAGGGTTGGGAGAGTTAGAAAAAGTAGGTAAGAGCTAGATTGCTATAGTCTATAGTAGAATGGAACCCCAACCTCTTGAGTATTCCATCCCCAGCAGAGCACTCCTTCCTTTTAGCTTCAGAACAAATTTCTAGATGTAGGAATGAGGTTTTGTCCATGATAAAACTATCCAAGGGCATGACTTTTGTAGCCCTTTTGTAAGTGCTGCCTTGCAAAGCCCCTGGCTTGAATTCTTAACTTTCTAAAATAAATGTTAATTATTATAAAAATAATTCACGCTCATTGCAAAAACAAGTCAAACACCATAGAAATAATGGAAAACAAAAATGAAAATACTACTCTCCTCTACTCCATGGTGTGCATGCACACACATATAAAACATTACACATATGGTACAGATAGTGGAAGTGTGATGTATATTTATAGGATCATATTAGATCTATAGCTCTAAAATCAACTCTGTTTAGGGGTGCCTGGGTGGCTCAGTCCCTTAAGCATCTGCCTAGGCTCAGGTGGTAATCTTGAGGTCCTGGGATCGAGCCCTGTGTCAGGCTCCCTGCTTAGGAGGGAGTCTGCTTCTCCCTCTTCCCTTCCTCCACTCGTGCTTGCTCTCTCTCTCTCAAATAAATAAAATCTTTAAATAAAATAAAATCATTTCTGTTTAAAAAAAGTTAACCACATACTTCTAAGGGCAAGTCTTGAGACAACATGTTATGTTTCTTCCTAACAATAAAAGAAACAATGTTGTATATAAAATTGTATTCTCTAGATGGTTATTTGAATAGATATTTTCTTCAGTTTTGGACTTAAACTACTGTTTTATCACTAAAAATTGAAATGGCCAGGGTACAAGATGAAATAGAACTTCATTCCGATGATCGTTTGGTGATCTATTTGATAATGGGAATGAAAGGATAAGGCTTAAAACAAACATGTCTTATTGTCCTGTACTGATGAAGTAAGCAACGGAACACTGCTCACAACAGACTGTAATACTTTACACTACAGTCTGAGTGACATTCACTGCTCTTAACATTCATCCAAATATTTTTACTATATTTTATAGTGTTTTATAATGTCAGAATTTTACAGTGTTGACTTTTGAGAAGATTTTAATCTGGAAAATGAGAAGATCAAATGGAAATAAAACTCCACGGAAAGTTGCTAAGCTTTTAAAATATTGATGTTTTTGAAAGTGCCAAATAATTTTATTGATATTTAGTTGTGCATGCATTTTAAACTCCATGTATAAGATACACATTTAAAAAAATCTGTTATTAAATTGGAATACAATTCCTACAGTAAAATGCACAGATCCTAAGAGTACAGTTCAAATTGTTTTAACAAATGTATATGTTTATGTCACCAACATCACAGTTGAGATATAGAGTATTATTAAGCATTTCTCTTAATTCAGGCAAATGTCATAGTGACTGACTGGTATGGGGCACATGGAGATGACCCATACACACTACAATACAGAGGGTGTGGAAAAGAGGGAAAATACATTCATTTCACATCTAACTTTCTACTAAATGATGACTTAACAGCTGGCTATGGACCACGAGGTAAGTGTGACCAATCCAGAAATAAACTTTGGGCAATACCATTTACAATATTCTGTGCTTGGTGCTGAAAAGCAACTCAAAGAACCTGAAACCTGCAGAGGACTTACCATCTGGATGGGGAGAGATAGGCTAATGTGCCCATGAAAAGGGAAGAGACAAAGTGAGCCAAAAAAAAAAAAAAAAGAAAAAAGTTGGACACCAGATTAGTGGCTCAGTGAGTACTATAAGAATTCAGTGAAAGGAGAGAACATTTTGCACTAAGGGTGCTCAGAAAAGGCCCACCCAGGAGAGGCTCTTCAAGTTTAATATGTTGATAAGTGGAAAGATGAGAGAGAACAGTGCAGAGTATGAATAAACAGCGGCAGCAGAGGCATCCAGAGCATATTTGAGAGATGGGAGTGGTAGCTGCTGTAATGGTGCAGAGAGAGCGTGAGGAGCGAAGTAGTGGAAAAACATGCTGAAATGCACGTGGGGATGGGTGATGGGGAGCCTCGACTGCCCAAATTAGCGAGTCACCACTGAAGGCTTATGGGCACAGGAGAGAAATCAACATAAAAGTGTTTTCAGAAGATGAATCTGGCTGTAGAATAATGATAATCTGGCTCCCTCAAATCAATGAGAGGGAAAGTGAGTATCAAGAGAATAACTAGAAGTCCAAGGAGGAGACAATAGACTTGAATAAGAATAAGGGCAGTGAGATGGGGACAGGAAAAGGTGTTGAGAACAATGAGGTTTTTTTTTTAAAAAAATATATTTATTTATTTATTTATTTATTTATTTATTTATTTATTTATTTATTTATGAGAAAGAGTGGATGAGAAAGAGAGAGAGCACCAGCAGGGGCAGAGGGAGAAACAGACTCCCTGATGTGGGGCTCAATCCCATCATGACCTGAGCTGAAAGCAGATACTTAACTGACTGAGCCACAATGAGAATTTTCTATGTGCCGGGTGCTGTGCCTTTTGTTTTTCAAATGTTACCTTATTTAATCCTAACAACTCTAAATCTTGGGAGATATTCTCCAGAGGGTAAAAAAGAGAAATAGAGGTCACACAACTACAGAGTGAAAGGCAAGAGGGGAGGGGTGTGTGGCAGCATTAAGGAGCACAGCAGGTTTATGTCACAGGTAGAAGGGACATCCACAGGTTTGGATCTAGGCAAGTTGATTGAGGGGAGCAGCAGATTGTTCTGGCGGAAAGGCTCAGCCTGTGATGGATGTGGGTGGCTGGAGTTTGGGAGAGAAGTCAGGGTCATAGATTTGGAGACTGGTGTTTAGTGGATGAATGTGAAGGAGAAACTGTACAGAGAACAGATCAACAGCTCAAAGGCTAACTATCCCATGCTTAATTTTTAGTTTTTGATTTTAACATAAAATAGTGCCTTTCAAATGATGTTTTCACTTTTAACTGCCATTTAAATCTATATAGATGTTGTTATCATCTAGATGGATAGCAGGAACTAGGGCAACACACTGTACAAAACACTTTATAAAACACTTTTTCTTTTTTTAAGATTTCATTTTATTCGACAGAGAGAGAGAAAGAGAGCACAGCAGGGGGCATGGTAGGCAGAGGGAAAGGGAGAAGCAGGCTCCCCACCGAGCAGCGAGTCCAATGTGGGAATTCATCCCAGAACACTGGGATCATGACCTGAGCTGAAAGCAGATGCTGAACAGACTGAGCCACCCAGGCACCCCTATAAAACACTTTTTATAAAAACATCTTTTTCCCAGTAACTATGGGATGCTGATATTCTCTGCCAAATAGATGACCTCACCAGCACTTCTAAATTGCATGAGTAGGCACAAACTTTCCCTTAATACCTTCAACTTATTTCCCCTCCCTTCCTTTGTCCCACGTTGCAAAACTTGCACAATAAGCTGCAGCCTCACTCAGCTCTTCAAACACTTGCTCTCAGAACTTAAAAGAATTCAGAAAAAAAGGAAAAGTGCACTTTGGGAGAGGGGTTAATCTTGAAAGCTTTTACTAGGGAATAGTTTTGATCAGAACACTGAAGGAAATGCAAGATTTAGAGAAGTAGAGATAAAGATATAAGGGATTTGATGCTGAGGATAGGCGTTTCCCTGAGCCGAGAGTTGGAGACAAAAATATAAACGTGGAGAATCAGAGATAAAATAACAGAGAAAGGATGATTTGAACTGGAGAGGAGGTTTAGGATCTTTTGTACTCCTTTGTCCCTCTCTGGCCCCAGGGTTTCAATCATTGTTCTAGAAAGGAGGATAATGTACAAGAAAAAAGTAGGCATGTGTGGATAACACAGACTAAAGAAGAGCAAATCTTTGTTTACATGTTTGGCATCTTAGTCTTTTTGGGGCTGCTATAACAGAATACCATAGACTGAGTGCCTTTTACACAACAGAAATTTATTTCTCACGTTTCAGGAGGCTGGGAAGTCCAAGACTGAGGCAATGGAAGATTTGGTGTCCAGTACCCACTTCCTGGTACATAGACAACCATTTAATGGCCTGTGTTCTTACATGGTGGGAAGATGAGGGAGCTCTCTGGGATCTCTTTATAAGGGCACTAATCCTATTCATAAGGGCCCCACCTTTGTGACCTAATCACTTCCTGAAGGCTCCACTTCCTAATACCATCACATGGGCCATTAGGATTTCAACATACAAATCTGGGGGGGACATAAGCATTCAGTCCACTCTACTTAGATATACTTCTTTCTCTTTCCCCAAATCTAGAAATGGTAGACCTGTAAGAAGCTACATAGAACTGTGCTACACAGCTTCACTGGAGAAATGAGACAATGTGGGACTCATCACTAGTTTCAAATAGGGCATGTGCCAAGTAAATCAATCACTGGTTTGCATTTACAGAACTAAATGTATTTTCAGACTGCCTCTTATATGATGGTAGGGGGTAAAGCAGGAGATGGGAATAGGTCAGGAAGAGAAAAGTGGGAGGATTACACTTCAACCCTATGTAGTGAGTATATATAGTCAAGTGATATTACATCTTCACTGGTTAGCAAAGCCCACCGCTGAGATTTCAGGAACTCAAAACAAAAAATCTCTCTTCCACAGGTAGAGTATTTGTCCATGAATGGGCCCATCTCCGTTGGGGTTTGTTTGATGAATATAACGATGAGAAACCTTTCTATATAAATGGGCAAAATCAAGTTAAAGTAACAAGGTTGGTACTTTTTCTGTTTAAAATTTTCTTTTTTTTTTTCTTTTGACGCTGACATGAAGCAGCTAATGGCAGCTAAAACCTAACTTGCAAGGAAGAAATCCTTTCATTTTACAATTTTATTTCATTTTTTTTAAAAGCTGATAAATGTTTATGTGGTTCAAATATGAAAACAGGGATGCCTGGGTGGGTCAGCCATTGAACATCTGCCTTCACAGCTCAGGGCATGATCCCATGTTCACGGGATTGAGTCCCGCATCGGGCTCCGTCATAGAGCTTCTCCCTCTGCCTCTGTCTCTGCCTCTCTCTCTGTGTCTCTCATGAATAAATAAATAAATCTTTTAAAAAATATATGAAAACAATATAAAAAGTTAACTCTAAGATATCTTGTTCCCACCCTTGTCTTCACCCATTTCCCTCTCATCCCCTCTAGGTAACCATTTTTTATTAGTTTCTTGTTTATTTTTTAGTATTTCTTCATGTAAATCTAAATAAATATGAATATATATTTTCTTTTTTTTCTTAAAAATAATTGTTTAGTGTTCCACTGTGTGGATGTACCATCTCACTTGCTTTCAACCGGTCTCCTATTGTTGGACAAGTGGGTTGTTCTCAATTTTTTGTTATTACCAATAATATTATAGTCATAATGCTACATATATGTAATTTCTCAGTATGGAGGCAGATCCATATATCTATAGAATAGCTTCCAGGAATTACTGTGCCCTCATCTATAATTTTGGTAGATAATGACCAATTATCAATTGATTATCAATTGGAAAATATTTCTCTTTTAAAGGTTGTATTGTTTTTCACTTCTATTGGAGTGTCTGAGATTGCTTATTTAGGAAAGAATCCTTTTAAATATCATTATTACATGTTCACTTTCTTCTGCTCTGATGTCCAATGGCAATGAGCTCAAAGACGCTGTGACGCAAGATACTATCAATCATGTTCCTCCTTGGGACCCCAAAAAATCATGTTGATTTCCTAGTATCTTTTTCTTTTATCCTGTTTAGTTGGTAGAACTTTTGGTAATACAGAATTCCTCATCCAGATCAAATGCTTTAACATAAAGTGGACTGCATTTCCAAATTAATGAGCTTTCTTAACAGAGTAGTTTTTTAAATGTTTTATGTGTATCTAGCAAGCTACAAGCCCTGTAACAAATTATTATATGAACCAATGAAGAAAAAACATAAGTATTTCTAAAGTAGACCCAATTTCTCTTTCTATTTTTAGGTGTTCATCTGATATCGCAGGCATTTTTGTATGTGAAAAAGGTCCTTGCCCCCAAGAAAACTGTATTATTAGTAAACTTTTCAAAGAAGGATGTATGTTTATATATAATAGCACCCAAAATGCAACAGCATCGATAATGTTCATGCAAAGTTTATCTTCTGTAAGTATAAAGACCTGACCACTTCCTACAACATGCCATCTCTTCCCAAAGTGGACTGATAATGTTTGAAGTATTTAAACAAAAAGACAATTAGCACTCACTATGTTTTAGAGCTTGGGGGCTTTACGATTTATCTAGTTTTTATTTCACAGATAAAAAACACCAAGACCCCAAAGATGATCACCAAAAAAAAAAAAAAAAAAAAAAAAAAGATTCCTTTAGAAAAGTGATTATTTGCTTTCTAGGGAAGGTAATTTAACAAGGAAGCTCTGTAGACTTCAAAATAAACTGCTCATCTGAAGGTATTGAGGAAAAGTGTATTGAGTTACTAAGAGTGATAAAATACATGATTATATGTCTTTCATTTGAAGTAGCAAACCATTTCCCAGCACCTCCAAAAAAAAAAAAAGTAAGAAGTAGCAAACCACTCTTATTTTAATTGTGTTTCCTAATTCTCTTTCCCTTGTTTTGCACAGAGCACAGAAATTAAAAGAAAAACCAGACGTTACCAAAAGAAGTCAACCAACCCTTTGTAGTTTCAGAAACTTAACCTTGTCAGTATTTTGCATTAGCAAGAGACTAGTGTATGGATCTAGAACACCATTTTTAAAAATTGTTATTTTAAAAGAGTATTCTGTCATGAAGATCCAATACTTAACATTCTCCAGCTAGTTCATTTTCTGTCTGAAGGAAGAAGCATGAAGCAGCCAAATTCTCACCAGAAGCCTGCTTTGAAGGAATAGAATCAGAAAGGAAGGAGACTGGTGATACAGAGGTTTACTGGTATCAGCCTTCATGACCTGACCTGTCCACCCATCTTCACAAAGACCTGAAACTCATGTGTGTGTGTCAAATCTCCCCTCCACAGTGCTGGAGCATGGGCGCATGCCTCTGTGAAGTTTTGCTTCCATAGATGACCAATGTTCCTTAGATTGACATACTCTTTTCTTTAAATAATTTTTTTCTTCAATCTGGTTTAGTCAAGGCTATGAGTCATTCTGCAACTTTAAAGTGATTTTTCATACTTCTTGTCTGATACATTGTTTTTAATTTATAGCTTTAATACCTAAGGCCAACTTAATTTCATGTATTTCATCCACATTGTCTGTGATCCTTTGAAAGACCTAATCACTAACATCCAGTCAAAAAAGTTTCACAATTCTCTAACCATAGTCAGGAGAGAAAAGAGTTAAAAAAATAAATAAATAACAACAAAAACGGGTTACATTCCCGTCTCCCCATGCTACTGGGAAACTCATGTCCTTAAGCAATTATCAGCCTTCTGAAGCTTTAGCCTCCCCTTCTATGAAATTAGAGATGGGACTGGGAAGTCTATCAGGTTTCTTCTAGTTCTAAGCTCCCATGGCTCTGGTAGCAGGAAGTATCTACTCTGTAGGAATATAAGCACTGGGAATAGGTGGTAACCTATTACTTTGCGATGCAAACCATACCTTAAAAAGGGGTGACATATGTTTAGTATTATTAAATGAATTATATCTCTATTTCCAAAAGGGGAGAAAGATCAGGAAGTAGATTTAAGTTGCTTTTTTGTTCATTATCCTATTCTTACAGAGATCAATATTTGAACTAGATCAATTTATGTTGACTGATCAATAAATAAAGGTGCAGCTGGGTCATTATATATAATTCGAAGGAATAGGTTGACCGAGATAACATTTTCTAGAGTGTTTTCTTTAACACACTATCATTTGAAAAAAAGTGGAACATTGTTTTGTTTTCTTAAGACGAAGATATATATACATGGTCTGCTCTCTGTTATCCAAGTGCAAATAGACTATAATAGACGGATCACAAATACCACAAGGTTGCCAGTGTTTCAAGCAAAGGGTGCGAAGATATATTTGTAAACTCAATATCATTCTTGAAGTAATAAAGGGCTGCTATAGCACTTCTGATATCTCATGTTTCAACTCACCTTTCCTTTTACCTTTAGTTGCTTGAGAAGAAGTATGTCTAATATGGGAGGAGTGCCTTTATTCTCTGATAGGCATTGTTCTTTTTTTAGGTGGTTGAATTCTGTAATGCACGTACGCACAACCAAGAAGCTCCAAACCTACAGAACCGAATGTGCAGCCTCAGAAGTGCATGGGATGTAATCACAGACTCTGCTGACTTTAATCATAGCTTTCCCATGAATGGGACTGAACTTCCACCGCCTCCCGTGTTCTCTCTTATTCAGCCTGGGGACAAAGTGGTCTGTTTAGTCCTGGATGTGTCCAGTAAGATGGCAGAGGTAATATTTTGCACCAAAGTGGCTGTAAACCATTCATTTTTTTCTATCAGTTTTCTATTCTTTTCATTTTCTAGCAGGTAAGGGCAAAGAAGGAGAGGCCAAGGTTTGGAACTGTTATGTATTTTTGTCTTTTCTTGGGGACAAGAGGAACAAACTTAGGATGTAGGCCAGAAATTGAGATAAGGCAGATAAATGAAACCCACAGATAATCCCTAACCCTGATTTTTTGCTACTAATTGCAACTTCTTTTCCAACCAAGACCCTTTCCCAAAACTCTGATGTGTAACAGAATCTCTTGTCTGGCTATATTTCACTCACTGGTAAGCTTGCTGAGGTAAGAGACATTGGATTTGCAAGAGAGTGTGATTATCCATTGTGTGTGTATTTTCCATGTCACTATGGATAGAAAACCATACTTCAGTCATCCAAGAAACTTGCAGCCTTCCAGAAATCCACTCCTGAAAACCCCAGAACTCTCAGTTAGTGGTTAAAGTCTTAGTCTCTGGAACCAAGCATATGTGCTTTAAAACCTGGCTTCTTATTTACTGTTATATAATCAGGAGCAAAATAACCTTCCCAAACTGTTTTCTCATTTGTAAAATAGGGATTTTAATGCCTACTTTTAGTGTTGTGACAGAAGCAGCTTATACTAGCTCATTAGAGTTGATTGTTAAATTTTTAGAAAATTTGCAAGCCAATAGTTAAATATAGCCATTATTAAAAATTAAACTATGTAGATTTAGAATTAAATACAGTATATTAAAACAAACATAATAAATGCTCAAAACTCATCACTTCCTGATTATTTTCCTACCTTTTTTTTTTTTTACCATTATCTATGAGCAGAATCCATAAACAACAGTTCATGGGCCAATTTGGCCCACCATCTATTTTTGCATAGCCCACAAGCAAAAATAGATTACTTTTTAAATGGATTAGAAAAAGAATCAAGAGAATGATAAGATTTCATGACTTGTGAAAATTATATGAAATTCAAATTTCAGTGCCCATCAATAAAGCTGTATTGGAACACAGCAATGTTCATTTATCATATCTATGGCCACTTTAGTGTTAAAACAACAGAGTTGAGTAATTGCAACAGAGAACATATGCCTAAAATACTTGACTAAAATACTTGACTTTCTGGCCCTTTTCTGAAAATGACTGCTGATCTCCGATCTATGCTTTTAAGATGATTTCTGGCCTACTGTATCTGTCTGGGTCTACTACTACATATTTCTTACCCAACTCTGCTTTCAGTGATGTCAAATTGACAACTTGAAATTAGCCATGGTGGGAGTATGTACCCCACAGAAATTATGAAATCAAGGTCTCTCTTTTTCTGCCAGAAAGCCAGTTTAAAAAAAAAAAAACATTTACCATCATACCATCCTCTATTTCATAAAGTTGTCAAAGGGGAATAAATGAGAAAATGAATATGAAGCTTCTGGTTCCTAAGTGGTAGTTATTATTTTATTATAGTACTTGTCCTAAGGAAGAGTTTATCCTCTTGTATTCTCTGGATCACTAGCTGTAGAAAATTTGTCTTTTTTGGCTTGTCTCTGAAACGTTAGGAGCACCACTCATACATTCAACATCTAAATAATTTTGTAATCTTGCCAACCTGCAGCTAACTAGGGCATGATCTTCTAAAATATGGTCTCCAGATGATTTATATTGGCTAGCTGCCACTATTGAAGAAGAATAGACAGAGTGAAAGTGATAGTTGGATTTGAGAGAAGATCTAAGGGATGTGGAAGAGAAATATGCCTAAAGTAACACACTCATAGCAAAGCAAATTTCCTTCCCTTTTCCTGCCAATATTGTCCTTGAAATGTCATGGTCATTCGTTCATTAGGCGCCTGTACTGTGCTGGCTTGCGGGATGCAGAAATGATAGGACATAGTCTCTGCTTCAAAATGCTCACAACTTGGGGTCCCTGCAGGGTGGCTCAGTTGGTTAAGTGTCTGACTCTCGATTTTGGCTGAGGTCATGATCTCAGGGTCATGAGATGGAGCCCCCAGACAGGGTCCAAGCTCAGCGAGGAGTCTGCTTAAGAGTCTCTCCCTCTGCTCCTCCCTCCCAACTCTCTCTCTCAAATGAATAAATAAGTCTATATGAAATGCTCACACACATGCACATGTGAATAAATACAATATAATGTGACAAGGCTTCAAAGAGGTGTGAGTTGCTTTGGGAACATTGATGAGGAAGCATCTAGTGCCATAAAAGAAAGTGACTGAGGAGGACTTCATTGAGAGGATGAACTTGGGGTTGAATCTTGAAGGATGAGAAGGTACTTGCTAGGTTGAGGGAGAAGAAGGGAAGAATTCCAGGGAAAGGAAGAATTTGTGCAGTGGCTGACAGGCAAAATTAGAAAAATCTGTGGGGAGTACATCTGTTGGTATGGCTACAACTAATATTGGGTGTGTCTAAGAAAATGGCGGATAAGATGCAGAGATGATACGAATCTGAGAGAAACTTAAGACTTTGATTTGGTAGGACCTGTTCGAGGATATGGGAGCTTATAACAGATGGGTAATGAAAGACAGCTCCACGCTTTTGGCTTAACTAGTTGGGAATGGAGATCATGATTAAGAATGGTGAATTAAAATTTTAAAACTTTAAGAAAATTAATTAGCTAATTTTAAAAAAGAATGATGACTTGATGACATGATGTTAGCAATAGCTGCTAATTACTGGGTGCTGACTATATACCCATTTTGCAGATGAGAAAACTGAAGCTAAAAAAGATAAGTAATTTCTCTATGGTCACATAATTAGCAAACTTTGAAGGCAGGATTCAAAGTCCTTGCTTCATCCACTGTACCAACTTTCTCCCCAATATTGTAAGAGAAACAATATTTGGGAAGGGAGGCAATGAATTCAAAGTGTGTTGAGTCTGAGATACCTGTGGGACATTAAATTGGTAATGTTTCCTAAGCAATGTGAAATGTAGTCCAGATATTAAGGGAGCTGTCTGGGTTAGAGATAGAGACTACAGTCATCGCTGAAGAGGTGGTCATAGAAGCTCAGTTTGCTGCTCCCATAGCCTTCAAAACAAGTGATCCTAGTGAACATCAGTACCATCACCTGTCCAAACCTGGTCACTAATACTAATTTATCATTGGTTAATGCTTCAGAGTATAACTGTACTGTCATTTATGTCTCTCAGTTGAAACTCATAGCGATTCTATTTAAATAAGTAAGAAAAATATTATTATCCTCACTTTACAGATGAAGTGCCCAGGCTAAGATGACTATGGTAACAGAGGATAGTGCCAGTACACATACCCCTAACTGCTACTTTTCTCTACTATCAGGTCTTTTTGTGGTGTTTCCTCTTACCCAGACTGGATTTTAAAAGAAACAGCTACAAATCTAATTTTAACTGGTTTCATAGAACTTGAATTCTGAGTTGGAGAGAAACAGTGTGAATAGGTATCCTTAGAGAGTGGTAAATACAAACAGCTTCTTGGAGGCACGGTTCTAAACTACTCCCCACTCTTTGAAAAGCACTTATTTTTTTTTTTTTTACAATTAATGAAATGAGGATCCAGCATTGTGTCACTCTTTACAGCTCAAAAAATTACAATCTGACATTGCTAATGATTTGCAGAAATATTTGCTGATTGAGTTGCTTAGTCATACTTTTGTCTACCAAACAAATGTAATTCTTTTTCTTTTTCTCTCTCTCTTTTTTTTTTTTTTCCTTTTTGGGACATAGGCTAACAGACTCCTTCGACTGCAACAAGCAGTAGAATTTTACTTGATGCAAATTGTTGAAATTCATACCTTTGTGGGCATCGTCAGTTTCAACAGCAAAGGGGAGATCAGAGCCCAACTACACCAAATTAACAGTGATGATGATCGAAAGCTATTGGTTTCACACCTGCCTATGACTGTGTCAGCAGAAGCAGAAACCAGCATTTGCTCAGGGCTTAAGAAGGGATTTGAGGTACAGTAGGGCACCCCAACCCTCAAATCACCCTCACTTTCCTTTTCTTCATTTTGTATCTGAGGTTCCTTCTGATTTGGGACAATCTGTTATACTGTGGTCATAACAGCTTTCAACTATAATGATGTTGATCCGTAATGATGGATTAGTTTTTTTTTTTTTAAAGACACATTTTTTAATTTTATTTATTTATTTATTTACGATAGTCATACAGAGAGAGAGAGAGAGGCAGAGACACAGGCAGAGGGAGAAGCAGGCTCCATGCACCGGGAGCCTGACGTGGGATTCGATCCCGGGTCTCCAGGATCGCGCCCTGGGCCAAAGGCAGGCGCCAAACCGCTGCGCCACCCAGGGATCCCAATGGATTAGTTTTAAGGTCAGGAATCATATCTTATTTACCATTAAACCCCATGTGCCTAGCAAAGTACCTGTCACATAATAATTGTTCAATGAATGCTTGTTGAAGGAATGAATTAATAAATAAATAAACAGCCAAGGATGGAGGACTTTAGTGACATCTAGATGATTTCTAACACTTCCTATTCATTCTGGGACTGTCCCAACTGTAGCCGTTTTTACACTTGGGTTTCCAGTCAAAATCAACATGTCTGCCTTCTGTATATAATCATTCTGGACTTGTCTAATTCTAATGTGTAGCCAAGATTGAGCCAAGAGCCAAGGCGTCTTATTGGTCATTCACTGGATGTCTGAGGCAGTGATAACACATAAGAATGTGCCGCCATATCCTCTATTATGGACCCTATTCTAAATCAGGGTCATATTGTGATGATTCAAACAGGAAGAGTCCCTCTCTACAAGCAAACCAGCAATGGCATGTAGAGTGATGCTATCAAGTCCTGTGATGAAGTGAATTGAGGCCAGAATAGAGATGGGCATAGAGGGCAGTGAGTCACAGAGGATCTGAAAGAGGCATATGCATCATGGGTGGGGATTCTGGGGTGAGTGAATTCTTCTGTTCAGTCAGACAATCTGAATTACATTTCCTTCCAAATGACTGATACTATATGTTCAGGTGGTTGAAAAGCTGAATGGAAAAGCCTATGGCTCTGTGATGATATTAGTGACCAATGGAGATGATGAGCATATTGACAATTGCTTACTCACCGCACTCAGCAGTGGTTCAACCATTCATTCCATTGCCATGGGCTCATCTGTGGTTGAAAATCTGGAGGAATTATCACGTCGTACAGGTAAACATATTTCTAAAAACTTATATTTTAGAGCATTTCCTTTAACTTGAATATTCAAAGCACAAACATGAAGCTCAGACTATGTCAACAGAATGTGTGGCTTAAGTGAAAAAAAATAGAAACAGTTATCTTAAGGAAAACAACATAAAAATTAAATTATGCCAAAATTACTTTTAATTTTTAATTTTTTCAGAGAGGGAGAAAGAGAGAGGGGCAGGGGGCAGAGGGAGAGGGAGACAGAAAATCCCAAGTAGACTCCATGCCTAGTGGAGCCTGACACAGGACTTGATCTCAAAACTTCAAGATCATGACCTCAGCCAAAATCAAGACTTGGCTGCCCAACCAACTGAGCCACCAATGTGCCCCCAAATTTTGCTGACTTTTTAAAAAAGATTTTATTTATTTGAGATAAGAGAGTGTGCGTGCAAGAGAGAGCACAATCGGTGGATAGAAAAAGAGAGAAGCAGGCTGCCCATCAAGCAGGGAGCCCAATTTGGGGCTCAATCCCAGGACCCTGGGATCATGACTTGAGCCAAAGGCAGCCGCTCTACTGACTGAGCCACACAGATGCCTCCAAAATTTTGCTGACTTTTAAACATTTTCCTTAGAAGATGCCAATTATATACATCGAATGAAAATATAATTTCATAATTTCTTTGTTAAATCACTCTGAGCATGTATAACACAAGGCTAAAAATATGTTTAATATATGATAAAGACACATACCATATTGTAAGACACATACCTTTTTTTATTCCATATGAGGCATAGAATAATTTTATCTTATATTCCTTATAGTCAATAAAAATGGGGATCCCTGGGTGGCGCAGCGGTTTGGCGCCTGCCTTTGGCCCAGGGCACGATCCTGGAGACCCGGGATCGAATCCCACGTCGGGCTCCCGGTGCATGGAGCCTGCTTCTCCCTCTGCCTGTGTCTCTGCCTCTCTCTCTCTCTCTCTCTCTCTCTCTCTGTGACTATCATAAACAAAAAAAAAATTAAAAAAAAGGAATATTGCTGACTTTAAAACTGAAAGTTAGGTTTTATGGAATTATCTTTGAAAAAATGTTTTCAGAATATGAATGTAAATGTAAATATACAGCAATGTAGACAGGTAGCAATTACCCTAGACTATCTAGGAATTACCTTAATTACAAGACTATTCAATAAATATTCATAGAGTTTTTATCCTGTGCCAGGGAGAGGTTTATTATTTTTTTTTAAGATTTTATTTATTTATTCATGAGAGACAGAGAGAGAGAGAGGCACAGACACAGGCAGAAGCAGGCTCCATGCAGGGAGACTGACATGGGACTCAATCCCAGGTCTCTAGGATCACACCCTGGTGCTGAACCGCTGAGCCACCCGGGCTGCCCCAGAGAGAAGTTTAGACCTTGACGTTACAGCTGTGAACAAAACCGACAAAACCACTCATCTCTGCTGCTTATCACATGGCTGGTAGGATGCAAAGCAGGTCAAGCATAACTCCTTTCCCCAAATTAACCCTCTTACACAAGAAAGGTTGTTGGATAAGACCTAACCTGTTATTTTTTGTTTTATTTTATACATTTTAATAGTTAACATAATCATGTATTTCAGGAGGTTTAAAGTTCTTTGTTCCAGATAAATCAAACTCCAACAGCATGATTGATGCTTTCAGTAGAATTTCCTCTGGAACTGGAGACATTTTTCAACAATGTATTCAGGTCAGGATTTCCTCAATATCATACTAACGGGTGGGGTTGGGTTTGGGGAGGTGGGGGGGGACAGAGAGAAGGAATCAAGAAAAATAGATGAATTGTGCTAACTGCCTCATTAACCTTATTTGACTATGTAATAATTCTTGCACAGAAGGCTTTTAATGAGCTTCTTGGTCTCACCAAGCCTGGATTCACTTTTACTTAATGTCTGTTCTTCACCACCTTAGGAATAATTTCCTGTAATTGCCACCTTTACCTTTAAAGGTCTGTAAGCAGAATTTGCTCCTTCCTAGTGGCTAAAATAGGTGTGGGGGTGGGGTGGAGGCAATGCCAAGGAGGAAAAGAAGAAACTGTGTCTTCAGTTTGAGTTCTATAATAACTTTCTATCAGTCATAATCCATTTTACTTTTTTTGGCTTCTTAAAAAACTTCTTCAAAGCTCCTCCCTCATATTAAAAGTATCAACTATTTCACTAAATTCTAAAAATTTTTAAGTACTCTTTCAACTACTGCAATTGACTTTGTTCAAAAAGGGCTTCCTCTACTCAAGCCATTTTTAAAAGGGCCAAATTTTTTCTAAGTAGTTTAAAGATATTTTGAACATAACTGAGTCTGGACAAAATTTCATCTGCTGTTTCCTCACAGATGGTAAGTGAAACTGCCAAGTTAATGACTTGTTGTGAACAATGAAATCAGTTAAATTATTCTTAGGAAATATTTAACATCAAGATTATATGTACACAGTAAGGCAATAACCACAGTTCCATTAGAAGTGAAAAAAGGTGAATCATAAATGAGAACATACATTATCATTAAATTACAATTGGTTGTTCCTAATAATCTTTCTATCACATAATTTCTTCTTTAATAATATGAAATAAAAACAAACATTTTAAAGTTTTTAGAAATTTAACAAAAGTTTTTAAAAATCATATGGCTCAAATTAGCCTCATGTTCCCAAACTTGGCCTCCTCTCCCCCAGTTGTATGTCATTAGCCCCGCTAGACCATGGACAGAAACTACATCTAATTCCCCTTCAACAGATCTGGCCCAGCACAGAATGTGCCCCACTAGTCAGCAGTCCACAAATGCTTGTAAAACGAATTTGAATAAATAATCCGCAGTGTTTTTGCTGTCATCTACCAAAAATTTTATATGCTTTCCAAGTTTGAGCAATATTACAGAGTGTTACACGGTGTGTTTATTTAATAAATACAAATTTTCAAAGTTATTTATTGACTTGTGTCTATTGTGAATACACAGTGATTAAATAAATGTAGGGGCTCTGGTGTCAGCCTGCTTGGGCTCTATCCCAGTTTCAGCTCCTTGCCATGTGACATTGGACAAATGACTTCTTTAAGCCACAGTCTTCTCATCTGTGAATGTGGATAACAACAGTACTCACCTCAGGGGGTTTTCATAGGATTAGTGAGATACCATATGTAAAGCATTTAACACTGTACTGTCATCTGTTTGCACTCTGTATGTATTGTATGCGCACACACGTGTGCACGTGGCTTATTGTGAATGGCTAAATAATTATTTTAATGTACCCAAGCCCCCTGAAACTCAGTGTTTTGTTTCTTATTAAAATATATAAAAAGGTAGGGGCACCTGGGTGGCTCAGTCATTTGAGAGATGACTTTTGATCTCAGCTCAGGTCTTGATCTCCAGTTTGTGAGGTCAAGCCTCACACTGGACTCTAGGCCGGGAGTGGAGCCTACTTGAAAAAAAAAATACATACAAGTATCTGGAGAGATAACATAAATCAAACCACTTACATTCACAAACAAATTTTTTTTTAAATTTGATATTATAATTGCTGATCTGAGGCTAATGTTGATTTGGATGAGAATTAGTATGAGAACAGTTAAAATTTCTCTATAAAAAATAATGAAGTGATACTTGTATTAACCATACTAGAATATTTTATATCCTCTGTAGTCCTATAATATAGAATATTTCACTTTGGTGAGGTATTTTTATAAAAAGTGATTTATATGAATATAGTTCATGTCAGAATTAAATTATTTTTTTGCCAATTTTATTTTTATTTGTCCAGAAGTAAAGGAAAAGATGGAATGTTTATGCCTACACTAGAAACTTTCACATATATGTGTGTTTTCTTGAACAGCTTGAAAGTACAGGTGAAAATGTTAAACCTCACCATCAATTGAAAAACACGGTGACAATGGATGACAGTGTGGGCAATGACACAACCTTTCTAGTCGCGTGGCAGATCAGTGGTCCCCCTGAGATTCTGTTATTTGATCCTAATGGAAGAAAATACTACACAAATAATTTTATCACCAATCCAGCTTTGCAGACTGCTCGCCTCTACATTCCAGGAACTGCTGAGGTAGGTGTTGTGAGCCTGTTCATAATGACAACATTTAGTTGAATACATAACTTTCAGTTGAATCACATAATTAAATGCACTGTATAAAGAAATCCTATTCTGATACATCAAAATTTTATTTCAAATTTATACAAAAGCATTTTGAGACTGTTAAAAATTTAAGAGAAACAACTAAGATATGTTCAAAACTTTAAATAATGGATACCAAAGTCTTCTCTCTTCAACAGTGGAAATTAGTATGTATGCAGTACAAATAATTTCTTCTTGCTTACTTTCTTTGCAAAATTCACACATAGTTATTTATACACTTGGGGGGAAAACTCTACCTAGAATTTATAATACGAATATATGCAATACATGTTTTTGAGTATCTGCTATATTCTAGGTTTTGTTCTAGGTGCTTTATATTAAAATACCATGGTAGGAACATGAACGGGGTACTCAGAGCATACAGGAGGGATGCACAGACTTCGGGGGAAGGTGACTGCTTCCTGAAAGTAAAAACATCAAAATAGAAATATGGAGGATAAAGAGGCCAGAGGTGTCAATGATATTGTGGGTGGAGGAAAAAAAATAGAATATAGCTTTTCATAGAACTACAAGGAGGTCAATATGGATGAATTACACAGCAGCATGTGAGGTGGGAGATTTAGGGGAAGGAAAGAGAGAAAGTGATGAGGCTAGACACAAATAGGAGCCATGTCAGGAAGGGTTCTGTATGTCCATAAAGGCAAAAAGAGCTTGAATCCTAAAGGGAAAGGGAACCACTAGTGGTTCCAAGCAGGGTGGTGAATTGCCTGAGTGCAGTCCTACTCTCGTGATTCTGCTGAAGCACAAATCTGATCAAACTTGTCTTCTATTCAAAACTCATTGGTGGTCTCAGGATAAAATCCATGTGGTTACTGTTACATATCAGGCTGTTTATGTTAGGGCTTTTGCCCAAGCTTTTTTCTTGACCCCCTTCCCAAACACCCTCTGCTTTGTTCCTCCTAACTTTTCTCTCAACTCATCATGTTCTTTTCACATCATGTTCTTTGCACAGGAGCCAAGAACACTTTACCTACTTTTTTCTGCCTTTGCCTGACCTCAGCCTGCACTAGGTGCCCTAGAACAGAACACATATTACACCCAAAGAGAAGTTTTTGATATGGAGATCTGTATTGTCTTTTACTAATGTTATGATTACAAAAAAAATAAATAAATAGATTATCTTGATACTTGAATTATGACTTCACAGGAATATGGCCAAGCACATGAATCCCAATGAAGAAGGTTGGGTAGGGTGTGGTGGCATCTTAACTTTCCACACTGAGTCATGACTTAACTCCTTGGTGCTTTTTCTCTTTTTCTTCCAGCTGTACTGTGTTCCTCCTGTTCTAGGGTTTAATAAGAAGCAACAGCAGGGCAACTGGATGGCCATTAGGCCATCGGCTCTTGGTTTCAGCTCAGGTCATGATCTTGCAATTGTGATAGGAGCCCTGTGTCGGGTTCTGTGCCGAATGTGAAGCCTGTATGAGATTCTCTCTCTCTCTCTCTCTCTCTCTCTCCCTTCCCCCAAACTTCTGTGTGCTCTCTTGCTCTCTAAAAAAAAAAAAAGAAGAAGAAGAAGAAGAAGAAGCAACAGCAAGGATGGGGATAAAAATAATGTATATAATCTTCTCCAAAGAACAAATTTCTGTTATTTGTAGTTTATTTTTTTTTCTTTCTGACATTCTTTTGCAGGTTTCCCCCAGACAGGCTAGACAGGCAAAAGAGAATAGTATAGAAATATTTCTATAAATTACTCAACACAGACATTGTAGAATCCTGACTTATTAAAAAAAGAGTATTTCTCTTTTTGGTCTCTTATAATGGACACGGGTTTTATTGCTTGAGATTTCTGGATATTCAGGGTGGGGACATTAAGGGAAGGAAGGATACCACTGCTTTTTATTTCATGTATTCACATAAATCATAATCATCCACTTAATTTGCTATAATTTTCTCAATTATAGAAAAGGAATATAAACGTTGAATTTTGGGGGGGGTGAAGCAGCTTAAATTAATATTATAAAATACTTTGAAGCTGGACACTTACTATCTTCAAAAATGTGAATTAAAATATGTCCTCCCCACAAATAAATTCATGGTATAATTCCCTAAAATGTTACTTAACAATAAAAGTAAGTTGTGCTGTGAAAGTCACATAAATAATAAATTGTTATCCTCTAACCCATATTAGCTTCCCTGAGATTCTTTTGTAGTTACTTTAGAAAATACAACATCAGCAAAACAAGGATTGAAACCCCTCAGAACTTAGACTTATGCTTTAAAATTAAGGGTTGATTTTTTTTTTCTTCACATTTTCCAAAACAAAAAGACTTTGTTTTGCAGCCTGGGCTCTGGACCTACACACTGAACAATACCCATCATTCTCTTCAAGCCTTGAAAATGACAGTCACCTCTCGCGCCTCCAGCTCAGCCATGCCCCCTGCTACTATAGAAGCCTTTGTGGAAAGAGACAGCACCCATTTTCCCCATCCTGTGATGATTTATGCAAATGTGAGAAAGGGGATTTATCCCATTCTGAATGCCACTGTTACTGCTACAATTGAGCCAGAGGCTGCAGATCCCATTGTGCTGAAACTTTTTGACAATGGAGCAGGTAACAGGGAATGTCATGCCATTTTTCATGTTCTCAAGAGCTGCTGTTGTGTTAGGATGCTCAATCTTAAGCTTATCTGTAAAGTTCTTTCAATTCAATTATTTTTCTCATCCAATCTTTTGAGATTCTCAAGTCCTTAGAGAGTCACTGACATACCAAGTAGCTACCAGTCACATCTACACAAAGAAAGAGAATGTAAACTTGGGAAGAGTCTCCTTGAGGTTCTTCAGTGTGGCTGTGGGGCTGTAGAGTGCATAAAAGTGGAGGAGGAAGGAACTTAACGCCTAGGTCTTGGCTCTTAGTTGGCCAGTAACACTAGCAACATGATGAGGTCACACAGAACAGGCTTATGTGTCCTTGTGACATGCCCATATTTCTCTAAGATTCACCAGCTTTATTATTCACTGAAATAATAAGATTGGACAATAAAATAGCAGATGAAAACCATAGAAGTAAGATGCAGTGGTAGTCTCCTCGACTCAGTTGTCAAAAGAAAATTGGAAATTGAACTTGTGACCCAGGAGATAACCCCAGACTATTCTTTAACCAAGTAGCAGGGTTAATAAGAGGGCAGAGCCAGTGTGTTTACATGTATGATTTGCTCACAACACAACCAGGCCAGCAATCCTAGTGGGAAGTGCTCTTTCTGCACCTAGAGTTCAGAGCCTCATCATCATACATCACAGACAGAATAGCATCAGGCCAGGAAATAGCAGCACCTAGACTCAGAATTTCTGACTAACTCTTTTTGACTTAAAAATGGACTCCTCTGGTGTTTTATCTTTCCTGTTCCATTCTTTCCCTAAACTAAATTCTCAGAATGGCAATAGACCTCAAAGTCTGTGTTGGCAGCCACAGGTGTTTGATCTACTAAAAAACTATACTCTTGCTTCAAAAATAAAAATTTTTTTCAAGAGTCTTAGGTTTGGCAACCCATTAGCATTTTGCCATGGCCATCTTACATGACATTTATGAAACAAAAGTTCTTTTAAAGGATTTTAGTTTAAATATACCTCAGAGGGACACCAAAGAAGTTCTCTCATTTTGCCTATTGGAATGGATTCAAATGAACTTCTCATGCTCTGATTGCTTATCCATGGTCACACCTTTTAGTTTTTGTATATCATCCAAAAATGCACTTTGCAGAATACTTCTCCTTTGCTTCAGCCTGTGGGCCAGCCTGGAGAATAGATCCTGTTCTCTTAGGAGAGCTCACCTGAGTTAGCTCAATAGCTTTTATGTTTATTCCCTGAAACCATTTCATTTATTTGATGTCTAAATTTATACTCTAGAGGCAACTGGTGGCTCAGTCCATTAAGCATCAGACTCTTGATTGTGGCTCAGGTTGTGATCTCAGGGTCATGAGCTCAAGCCCAGTGTTGGGCTCTGTGCTGGGAGTGGAGCCTGCTTAAGATTCTCTCACTCTAACTCTCCTAATACTAAACATATTAAATAGCCAACACTTATTTTTATAATGGAAGTAGTATTTATCTGCTGACAAATTCATGAACGGTGATAAAATGTACACTTATTAAATGCCTTATAATTTAAAATGTGCTTTCTCATGAACACTCTGAGATAATCCACACAACAGCCCTGTGAGATAACTTGTCTCGTTTTAAAGATAAGAACACTGAGGCTCAGAGAAATTGTTTTATAGCTACTGAGTGCTGAATCCAGACCTTACAATCAAGTCTTACGACTCCCAAGCTAGTATTCTTTTCCATTTCTTTCTTCCTCAAGGATTAAAAGAGATGGCAATAGTAACTGTGGCATGGAGAGAATTTCCTTCATCATTTCTTAACAAAGATAGACTTGATTAATCAGTAAATCACTAAATACCAAGATTTTATTTCTTTCCAATAGATAAAAAATGTCTAGATTTACTATAATAGCAAGTTGCTTAGCACTTTTTATTTTAATTCAGTATACTCCTACTTTTCTCATGTTAAGGAGCAGCCCTGCCTCTGTAGTGGGAATTTGAGAACATTTTCATGGTGATACAATGTTTAGAGTCCAAGGGCCAAACAGGTGGTGTGAACTGACTCTAGGATAGGATAAGCCATTTGCCCAGGATGCCCACCTGCACTTGAATAGTGAATGTATCCTGAGCTTGGGTTAAACTATACCTCCCACTGCTACCCTTGATTCTAGGCCTCCCCACTATTCAATCATGGACTTGGTTGGAATTGAACTGCTCTCTAAGGATGAGTGTAAAAGGAAAGAAGTCCAGCACTGGCCAAGCTTTCCAAATGCCTCCTGAAGCAAAGCACAATGGATAGAACCAAAGCCTGTCAAACCCCAAGTCACTAAACCCCTCAGAATCTAGAACAATAGTTTCATGTACCCTCTAATAAGGAAATTAAATAATTTCACACTACTTTATCAACTACGAGTTTTTTTTTTAATCAGGGCTGTAGGACACTTATAAATCCCTTGAAATTGCATGAAATGTATTTATGTGTATCTATGTTTATTTCCTGGGAACAGGATAGCTTTTATCTCAAAGGAGTCTATGACAATAAACAAAAAGAATATGCTTGATTTCCATGAAAAGCTTGTATTATTTTCAACGATAAGAAGGAGAGCTCTAAAGGTGATTGGTAAATGTTTTATTAGCACTGAAGTATAACTCACCTTCAGAAAATAATTTTTCAAAGGTTAAGGAACCACATGGAGAAGTTAAGGAGACATTGGATTTTAATATTAAAAGTAGTTATGACCATGACTATATTTGCTAAAATGGGAAGAATGGAGAAGAGCTTATTTCTTACTGATTTAATTAAATATTAGTAAACTGTGATGACAAGTATTGACACTGAGGTTTTTTTTTTTTTTATACATGCAGGTGCTGATATTATAAAAAATGATGGAATTTACTCGAGGTATTTTTTCTCCCTTGCTGTAAATGGTAGATATAGCTTGAAAGTGCATGTCAGTCACTCCCCCAGCATAAGCAGCCTAACCTACTCTATTCCAGGGAGTCGTGCTATGTACATACCAGGTTACATAGCAAACGGTAAGAATCATGAACACCATTATTTGAATAACACCATTTAATGTATATATCTCTGGTGTGTGTGTGTGTGTGTGTGTGTGTGTGTGTCTGTGTGTGTGTGTGTTAGAGATAGGAGTAAAAGAAAGAGAGATGGAATTTCAAAACTATGCTTAAGTCAATGTATGATTTGTTGCTATCTCTTCGATCCTCAGTGATTCATGGTAGTGAATCAGGAAGCAATAGATAATTCCCCAGATTTTGTATCTTCATTTTAGTCATTATTTTGACCTCTTTCTTGTGGCTGTTTCATCAGAATTACTAACAGATAGAGATTTCTTGAGTTTTTTCTCAGTTATAGCTCCTGTATTTCCTCTAGAGAGATTTAGGCAAGGAAAAGAGGCGAAAGTTGTTAGCAGTTGAAAGAAGGAATAAATATGAGTTTAGATGTTACAGACAACTGAGTGATTGCTGAAGAGGTCCTGTCTTCCTTCAAGAGAAAAACACCAAATAACTAGAAGATACACATATTTTCTTAACACCATTGTTATAGTTCCTGAAGGCAACTGGTGGTTAAAGTACAAAAGACAAACAAAAATATGCTATAATCATTTTAAACAATCTCAAAAACATTTCTAAATGTTATTTCCAAAACTGCAGAATCTTTATGAACACTTTTCATGAATTTTAGCAGCTACAACTGATCATTTGGACTATTTCATGACATGACTATATTTTTAGTCTTTATGCGCTTTTAAGGAGAAAATAATCAAGATGTTCCAATGAATTTGCATCTCCTGATCATTTCAGTGTTGCCTAAAACATAATTTACTCTCCTATGTATTTACTTTGGTTTACTTCAAGACCAGTATAAATCAAATTGCAAGGCAACATGGTTTTGTGGCATAGATAGGATTTCCCATCTAGCTCTAATATTTTACTTATAAATAAATATTCCTTCTTTCGTTTATACATCCAACATTTTTGAAGGCTTACTAAGTGACAGGCTTAGTCCTAGAAACTTGGGATAGCAGGTAGAAAAACACTTGATTCCTACTGAGGAGCTCAAAGTCTAGTCGACTATCTAGTCTAGTACCTCTTTAAAATCCAGGAGTTTAAAGGATACACATATCAGCATCTAGCATACAGTGAGATTAGAAAAGTAATATTCAATTGTGCTTTTCCTGAGTATTTTGTAGAGGCTCTTAGCACAGAAAGGAAAAGGTAGGTTTTCCTAGGCATGCCTACTCAGTATAACATTCACTTTAGCAGCTCACTTTTTGATGACCAACTTGAGCTCATATTTCATTAAAAAACTGGAGCTGCTCTATTTTAATACCACCAAATCTCCAGACACAGCAGTGTATGCATCCTTCTCCTCACCAAAAGCCAGCATCTGGATCTGCTCTGGATCCCATCCATAGGCCTTGAGAGCTCACCCTTGCATGATTCCACTCTACTGACCCCTCTGAGCAGCATTCAAGCATGATTTACCATCCCATATTTTAAAAAATTCTATTGTTGGTCACCCTTCAGATACTGTCCACCTCCCTGCCATCTACTTCCTTGACATTAATCTAAACCTGCTGACTGAACTTTCTCACCTCCAGTGTACAACACTGTGCACCACAGTCTGACTTCCACCCAAGTGCCTCCACTGGAATGGCTCCAGTCCTAGTCACCAATGAACACTCTGCTGTTAAATCCAAAGAACATATTTCCATCCTTGTTTTATCTGACCTCAGCAGTGTCTGACACAGCTGATTGATTTCTCCTTTGTCATTTCCTGGCTTCTAGGATTACCTCTTATGCTCTGGAATTTTTTTTGTGAGGCTCCTTTTCCGGCTCTTCCTTTTCTAACAAGTCTCTAAGTGCTGACAATCCTCAGAGATCATGCCTAACCTTCTTACCCTATCATCTGGAGCCACACTGCCTGGGTTTGGAATCTCACTCTTCAATCTACTACTAGTTGTGTGACTTTGGGCAAGTTACTTAGCTTCTGTTTGCCTCAGTTTCATCATCTTGATAATAGGAGGTGGGGGGCGGGGGAGTAATAATTGTACCCTCCTGTAGCATTGCTAAGAAAATTAAATACTCAATACATATAAGGTAGGTAAATGAGTTCCTGGCACATAGTTAACCAGGCACCCAATCAATGCTATTTATTATTATAGTTGAGATTGTTATTAGGTAACCTCATTAATCCATACGGTTTTAATAACATCTATATGCCTATAACTTCCCAATTCATAAGTTTAAAATTATTAGATCTAGATAAAAACATTTTTTGAGCTTGAAATCCATATCTAACTGGCTCCTTGTCACCTTCAATTAGACGTTTTAAAGGAATCACAAACCTTGTAACTTACATTTTTAGTCTCCTTCCCATTAAACTGCTTCTCCTCCCACGTTGCTCATTTTAGAAACTTGGGAGCTGCTTCTTTTTCTTTTCTTTTTCTTTTCTACCAACTTTATCTCCTTCACCATTCCATATTAAAATCCATCACCAGCTTTTATTGATTTTATCTCTGAATCACATCTCAAACTGCCTACTTATGCCCTCCTCCCCACTGCTGTCACCCAGCCCAACCTGCCACATTCCCTGTCTGTGGCAGTGGTTGCCTTAATGGCCTCCTGCTTGCTGCACTAGAACTCATTCTCTAACGAGAGCAGCCACAGTGACCTGTTAGGAAATAAATGTGATCATGTCACTGCCCTGCTTCCCCACAGCGTGAAAGATTAAACTCTAAAGCCATTGCAATGGCCCTCAAGGCCCTCTATGAGCTTCTCTCTCCTGTCTTATCTCAAACTGTTCTCCTCCTTGCTTTAATTAAATTTTTCTAATTTGCAAGTCTCTTTAGTACCTCAGAGTTTTTACACAACCTGTTCCCTCTGCCTGGGATAGATATTACCCCCACTCTGCCTGGCTGTCTCCTAGTCACCCTTTAGGATGCCTTTAAATGTTACTTCCTAGATACCACTAAAAATTATGAACCTGTATTATTTTTCTTCACAGCACCCCGCCTTTTTTTACTTAAGTTTATCACAACTTATAAATATAGTTTTTTAGTATGATTATAAATTCCATGATGGATACTCTTGTCTATGATTACTGGTGCAGCATATGCTCTCAAAATACTTATTTAGTGAAAGAATGGACAAATGAATGGATGAATGAATGAATGATGGAATAAACAAACTCAGCTTTCTAAAGATGTAGTAAAGCAAAGAAGGTTTTAAAACATCTTTCCATAATCTCTCAAACAAGCTATTTAGGAGATTGTAACTTGTTGTTTTGGCTGTTCTCTTCTTGGTCACAGGCAACATTCAAATGAATGCTCCAAGAAAATCAGCGGGCAGGAGTGAGGAGGAGCAAAAGTGGGGCATTAGCCGAGTCAATTCAGGAGGCTCCTTTTCAGTGCTAGGAGTTCCAGCTGGCCCCCATCCTGACATGTTCCCACCATGCAAAATTACTGACCTACAAGCCGTCAAAGTAGAAGATGAGGTGATTTTATCTTGGACAGCACCTGGAGAAGACTATGATCAGGGCCAGGGTAGGTTTCTTGGTTTCACTACCTGTTCTTCTACAAGGTAGCATTTCTAATAAATAAGTCAGGGGTTAGTTGGGTAAAAATAGCTTTAGGGGCTTAGAGCTGACAAAGCTGCAGAGGGTTATGAAAAGCTTTGAGTCGTTGATAGGGCTTTATATGCTGGAGTCTAGGAATGGGAGCTTGTGAGCTCCCCTAGAATTGAGAAGGCCCTGGTAAGAGAACTGACACTGATCATCTAGAAATCTTGATTGGAAACTTAAATAGCATATGTAAGAGGGCTCTAGTCAACAGAAATGGGTTCTGCATTACAGAGCATGGACTTCCAAATACTGGAGGCATTTAGTTTTGTGAAGATTAGATGGTGGATAGTGAACTCAAAGATTTATAAGTCAGGGTAAGGAGAATAATTCCTATGACTCATGCAAGACTTGGTGCACTTTCCACCCCCATTTCTGGCCATCACTTTTGTTAGGGAGACTAGAACCAGTTCCATTACTTGGGCTTTCTTACCCTTGTTTGGATGGACATTAATAAAATTCTTTCTTAACATTCCCTTTTTTAAGGCCTACAATAGGCTTCAGGCTTCCAGCATCATTTCTTGATCCCTGTAGCAATTCAACAAAATAACTTTCCTCAAAGAATAACTTTTCTAACATCTTTGCCATCACCAAAACATGGTTATCACTGACTATACATTCAGTAGCTTTTTTCCTGTTGCCTCTGATTGAGATTCCTGTAGGAACCAACCTTCTCTGTTGAAAGCTTATTCTGTCAATATCAGTCAATAACAGTGACCACCTTGGGCCTTTGCCAGTCTTGCTTCCAGCTTAGGTCAACGTTATTTGGCTTATAATTCTCTATTTATTATATTCACCAGAAAGCACCTCAATAACAAATAATTCTGTGCTGCTGGGGAACATCAGTTTGTAGCTTTGTCTTCCAGTTCTTTTATCAAAATCTATCTCTTCCTGTCAGAGGAGAAGGAAGTGTAATACTTTACACTCTGAATTAACGGTTTTCCTAATATAAAGATTGGAGATGTGCAATGATTAAAACTCTGGGATGGATATGTCTTTTGAATAAAGGAGAAAGCTGTAACTTACATGCCAGGAAAATATTGTTTCCACTCTGGCTTTAAGTCCTGCTTTTTGATCTTTGGCAAGTTGCTTAACCTCTATTGACCTCAGTTTCCTTATATGAAAAAATAGAACTACAGATATTTATTTCATAAGGTATTGTAAAGAGGAAATGAAATGAGACATATAAAATCAGAAAGGGGAGAGAAAGTGTGCCAAGTTTCCTGGGCTGCTAGTTTGTGTTGCTACTGCCTTCTCTAGCTTTTTTTTTTTTTTTTTTTTTTAAATCTAGAATAAGGAGCCATTATGGTTCCCATCTTTATTTAAAGGTAAGAGTGGTGCCACCTAGTGGTACCTAGTGAGAACCTAGTGTTCTCACTCTCCTCACAGCCTCAGAAACACCTAGTATTCTGAAAGAGACTAGTAAATGCAAGCTCTGGCTCCCATTACTACTGGAAATTGTTCCTTTCAAGAGCCATAAGATTTCAAGCACACTGCTGAATTAAAAGAGTAAAAAGAAAGTGTGCAGTGTTAATGGTTATTAATGGTTTGAGAAGAAGAAATACAACCATATGGGACTTTAGAATTGGTATCACAAAAGGCATTAATCAAGAGAATAAAGAGATCTTCATGCAATTTCACTGATGAGTGGTATGATTGAAGTGGATCTGATTTGTTATAATGTCAAAACCATAAACCACAAAAGATATGTAGGGGGAATGCCTGTATGTCTATTAAGTTGTTGAAATCACTGTCATAACTGATTTGATGACTCAACAATGGCAAAATTGACCAATTAGTCATGAACAGACCAACGAGCAAATAGGTACCTGTTTAATCCAGAAACGTGCTTTCATTGCCTATTTTTCCCCCACAAATTATTGTCTAGAAAGGCATCCTCACCTCTATGATCAGAGTTTAAAATAATGGGAAAACATCTCTGGCTATATAATTATAAAATGTCTCTGTGACTATTAAAAACTTTGTTAGCAATAAATGGATATCTCATATATGCCCAAGCATATCAGTATTTATCCAGGGGGCAGCTCTTTACTATACACAATATCCTAGAAAAGATGGCCAATTAGGTGGAATAAGCAAAACATTATCAGATCATTATTATGTTTGGGAATATTATGGAATTATGGAAATGGGTTACCTCCTTGGGTTTTCCTTAGAAGTCTAGGGTAATATAATTTCTAAAACTGAGAACCAAGCATGTTCTGCATCTCCTTTGTATTTATTTTTAGAAATTAGAGTGAAAATATATTTACTAAGCAAGTATTAATGCCCAGCACAGCGCTAAACATTTTATAAACATAATTTAAGACAGTCATTGCACTCCAAGAATTTATGATGGTATACTGAGGGGAAAAAAGGCATAACATGGTCAAAAATCACAGTTTAACACAGTGCCATTTATATGGTTTGGAAGCCACAGAAATGAAAAGACTGTAGAGATCAGTGTGGGTGGGAGCAGAGGAGAGGCCGGGTTCTTACACCAGGGAACCGGGCAGAGCCTTTGGAGTGGGGCCAGATTACAAAAAGCACCAATCTTGTAACTCCTTCTCTACAGTGACTACCTTCCCTTCAGCCTAACAACCTTTCACTCTGAAGAGTTTTCATCATGTTCATATATAATCATTGTTAGAATTTGTTATCCTTAAAAATTATTGAAAATGTGCTGCTTCTGAAAAAAGCCATTCAGTGACAGCAGTTGTTCTTCCCACTACCCCTTCCTCTAACCCTCAGTTATACTTCTACCCTGTAAGAATACTTAATGTAGGAGAGACCTAAAATAATCCTTAGGGGATCAACTGGATTTCTAAATGAAGAGAAGAGGTAGCACTGTTGTTGCCACCAGTGAAAACAGAGCTCCCTGAATATGGGACCAAGTCTTCAATTTCCTGTCTCCATCCTCAATAGAAACCCAGAGCTTTCCATACTATGAATTTATTGGTAAAGATGCTAATGAAGATGTAAGCTTCAGTAACTGGAAAAGTAGCAGTTATTGGGAAATAAGAAATAAGAGGGAGTATAGCCTACTGGGAGGCTGCATGGCATAGTGTTAAGGTATTGGGCTCTGGAATCAGACACATCACCTTTTACCTGTGTAACCTGAGGAAAGTTAATTTCTTTCAATTTCTGATTATTAATTTGCAGAAGCAGATAGTAAGAGTAGCTATCTCAGAGCATTGCTAAGAGATGAATGAGGTAAGGTGCAGAGAGGGATTAAAACAGTGTCTGGCCCATATTAAGTGTTCAATAAATATCAGCATTTGTAACATTTTGGAGACAGACGGGGTCTTAGAGATGTGCTAGTCTGACCCCTTTGTTTCAAATGTAAGGGAATGACCCTGAGAGTTTAAGTGTCTTGCCCAAGGCCACAGAGCTAATTTCATTGGTTAAAATATACTGTGAAAAAAGAGCTAGAGACCAAACCCAGAGCCTTACACCTAAGAGGTCAAAGATGCAGAAGCAGCCTGATTTCTCTTTCTCACAGGGAGAGGGGGGCCATAACAAGTACTGTAAATGGAAGGAGCCTCTCCATGAATGCATGAGTTGAGTTTGTTTTGAGTCTTTGAAGTTACATAGCTGTCCTGCACAAAGTTTAACAGATGCTAATAGTAGAATGTAATGGGATTTGGAATTAGAAGAAATGAGTTCATATCCAGCACTACGACTTCTTAACTGTTCACCATGCTATCACATTTAACTTCCTGAGTCCCCACCATTTTCTTTTAAAATGAGATGATCAATTTTACACAGAGAGAGCTGTGGATATGGAAACTGTAAATGCTAAGGCTTTTGAAATATTACTTGTTTCATTATCTAGAGGACTGGGAAAGCACCATGGAGAAGTCTTTCTCCGGAGAGAAAAATGGACATAGGAACAATGGATATGTTCCACTGAGAGTGTTCTGCAGATGGTCAGCCTAGCTTCTCACTCATATCTGTGCCCTTGTATTTGAACCACAGCAGGAAGCAACTCAGCTCCAAGTGGATTCACTCTGAGGGACTTGGCTGATTGATAAACTTGAATATAAAGACTATATTTTGTCTTGACAATCTTCTCTAAGGGCAACCATCTCTATTCTAATTACTCTTCAGGAGTACATATAGTCTATCAAAATTATTATAGATTTGGAAACTGCTCAAAACATAGTCATCAGAATATTTTCGTTTTTTTAATTAAAACTTGGACTGTTCTATGGTTTTCATTTCTCAGAATAAAATCCTCTTTTGAAGCTGCTCTGTTCATTGTTGAATCTATTTTTAGCCATTTTATTTATTTATTTATTTACTTATTTATTTATTTAGATTTTATTTATTTATTCATGAAAGACACACACACACACACAGAGGCAGAGACACAGGCAAAGGGAGAAGTAGGCTTCATGCAGGGAGCCCTGTGTGGGACTGGATTCCTGGACTCTAGGATCATGCCCTGGGCTGAAGGCAGGCGCTAAACTACACTGAGCCACCCAGTGATCTCCTTTTTAGCCATTTTAGAGAAGAGTTATGATATTATGAGAGTGGTCTACACGTAGTGGTACTACACGTGGCTTCCCTTTTTGCATCTAGTAATAATTTGTTATTCATAATTTTATTTTTGAATTGATAATACATTCACATGGGTTGAAAATAAAAACAGCATAACAATGTGAATGTAACACTTAAAAATGTATTGAACTATACACTGGATTGTACATGCTAAAAATGGTTAAGATGATAAACTTTATGTTATGTGTAACTTACTCCAATTTTGAAAAATTAAAACAATATAAGGAAATCAAAACAATAAAATTCCTGCCCTCAGCTTCTTCAAACTTAGCTGTTCTGTAACATGCAGTTTCTTAACCTATCAGTCTGCCATGAATTAATGTCATAGCACTTCACATATAATGTGAGAATCTTTCAAAAGTATAACTCCAAGTACCCTCTTCCATATTTTGTGGTTCTGAGGTCGTATATTGTGCTGGCTACAGTTTTATAAAGCCTACAATGTATTGTTATAGTTTCTGGGTTTTTTGTTGTTGTTGTTGTTGTTGTTATAGTCTCTGTTTTAAACAAGCAATTGTCGTTTTGATAAATTTTAAAAAGAAAAAAAATGACCCTTTTTAAGTAACCCATATAGTCACCATTTCTAGTCTTCTTCCTTCCTGTAAGTCTGAATTTTTATCTATCATCATTTCCCTTGTAGCTCAGGTCTTTAGGAGAAATTCTCTCAGGATTCAATTATGTGAAAATGTGTTCATTTCACCTTAAGTTATGAAGTACATTTTCACTAGATATAAAATTCTAGGGCAATAGATTTTCCTTTTAGTACTTTAAATATGTCATTTCATTGTCTTATGGCCCTAATTTTTTTCTGATGAGAAGTCAACTATCATTCTTACTGTTATTTTCCTGAGTATAAAGTGTCTTTCTTCACCTTTGGCTGCTTTAAATTGTTTTTATCTTTGGTGTTTAACAGATTGGCCATGATGTGCCTCAGTGTGGTTTTCCTTATACATGTTCTGTTTGGGGACTGTTGAGTTTCCTGGATCTGTAGAATATTCTTTTTGACCAAATTTGCAATATTTCCAGCTAATATATCTTCAAAAAATTTCTGTTCTATTCTTTTTTCTTCCTGGATAATGTTGATATGATACAATATGATTATATTTTATTCTACCCACATACACTAAATGGATATGTCAGTAGATCACAAAGATCAGTGAGATTCTGTTCAATTTTTCTCTTTGTCCTGAGTGCTACAGCTTGATTTTTATGGACTTGTCTTCAAGCTTACTGATTTTTTCTTCTTTTGTGTCCACAGTACTGTTAATCTTCTCAAATGAATTTTTTCATTGTTTTTTTTTCCAATTCTAGAATTTCCATTTTCTTCTTTTTTTAAGTTTCTGTATCTCTCCTCAAGTTTCCCATCTCTTCATTTACTATATCCAATGTGTTCTGTTGACTTTCAACATATTCATCATGGTTATTTTAAAGTCCTGTCTATTAATTTCTTTTTTTTTTAATATTTTATTTATTTAAGAGAGAGAAAGAGAGAGAGAAGCAGGCTCCATGCAGGGAGCCTGACGTGGGACTTGATTTCAGATCTCCAGGATCATGCCCTGGGCTGAAGGTGGTGCTAAACCACTGCGCCACCAGGGTTACCCCTGTCTATTAATTTCAAATCTCAGTCATTTGTGACTCATTTTATTTCTTGATATTTTTCTTAACTACATATCACATTTTCGACTTCTTTGCATGTTTATGGATGAGCATGTGGTAGTAAATTAGAGACTCTGGAATCTGTTAGATTCTTCTGAAGAGTTTTAAAATTTTTCTTTTCTTTCTTTCAGAGAGAGAAAGAAAGCAAGAGAGAGCATGTGCATGCAGATGAGTGGGGGAGGGGACAGAGGGAAAGAGGGAAGCAGATTCCCTGTTGACAAGGGAGATGACACAAGACTTGATCTCAGGACCCTGAGATCATGACCTGAGCCAAAGGCCGATAGATGCTCAACTGACTGAGTCAACCAGGACCGCCATGAATTTTGAAATTTTTCTAATACATAGTTTGGTTCACCTTGAATTTGAGGCGGCTTGGTTTTACTTTTGAGTAGGATTTGTCTATTTCAGTTTTACTTTTAATCCACAGTATATCCCTTAATTCTGAAATCCAATCTTTATTCCTAAAGCATGGCTCTTCCAATGTTTTAATGAATATCTCCAGATATTTACCACACTCCTCTAACCTGACAAGACTCACACTCCAAACTCTATACCTTTGGTGAGCATTAGCATAAAACTCTGCTCTGCTTTTCAGCCTTCTAGCTTTTATTTGTCCCTCTCTGGCTCCCTCAATTTTTAGCCACTCTGGCAATCCCATACTCAGTCTTCTGAATTCTCAGATCCAGAAGGTAGCTGGCTTTCAGTTCCAGCTATTCTATCTGTACGGGAGAAGGAAGTGCCTTAAGAGGAAAGGCTGTATACATATGAATCATTCCTACTTTGATTTCCTTCTTTTAAGGATTGTAACACCTCTGGTTTCTGCCGATTTTAATGTGAATCAAGTCCTTCAATAGCTTGTTTCCTTTGTTGTTTTGTTTGTCGCCTTCTTTGGAGTTCATACCTGTTACCTTCTGGAGAGTTAGTCTAATAGAAGCCACATAGCCATTCAAAGAACTCAGAACTAAACTTTTACCTTTGACTTAAGTAACACATATTTTTGTCACTTAACATTTATGCTTATATCTTGCTTAAGAGGATATTTTCCATGTGGAAGTTTTTCATTGTATGTATTCAAATTTATCAATTTTTTGTTTATGGCTTCTGAATTTTGAGTCTTAATTAGAAGGGCCTTTCCTACTTCAAGACTATACTGGAATTTATCTATCATTTCCTACTACATACTTAATATTTTACATCAAATTTCTTGATCATTGTGGAGTTTACACTGAAAAAAATTTTGTGATATGGATCCAGTTTTATTTTTCTACATCATTTTACCCAAATAGCGTTGTCACACACTATTTATCAAGAAATTTGTATTTTCCCCCCTTAATTTGTATTTTACCTCTATCATATACTTTCTGGATGTATTGTGGCCTATTTTTAGATAGTCGCTTATTCATGTACCAGTACTGCAATTTTTTAGTTATAGAGGCATTACAGTGTTCTTATATCTGATAGGCTTAGTCCTCCCACATAGCTATTTTCTTAGTCTTTATATGGCCAGCCTTGATTATTTATTTGCCATTGAAGCTGTACAATAAACTTGTTAAAAGAGAAACTAGAGGCACTTTTAATAAAATCATGTAAAATTTACAAAATAACTTAGTGGGAAAAATGACATCTTTATTATGCTGAATCTTCCTATTAAAAAAATCTAAGTTTTTCCTCTTTTCAGGTTTCAATATGAGTTCTTATATAATGCTTTAAAGTTTTGTTTATATGCAATTTTTTGTTGTTTATTTCTATTGTTGCTATTCTCATTAGTCATTTCTCATAGACTAGTAACCTTTCCATTTATATTTTTAAATTTCAGCTAACAGCTATGAAATAAGAATCAGTAAAAGTTTACAGAATATTCAAGATGACTTCAACAATGCCATTTTAGTGAATACATCAAAGCTAAATCCTCAGCAAGCTGGCACCAAGGAGGTATTTACATTCTCACCAAAGCTTTTCACAAATGGACCTGACCACCAACCTGATGGAGAGACACAAGAAAGCCACAGAATTTATGTGGCAATACGAGCAATAGATAAGAACTCCTTAAAGTCTGTTATATCTAACATTGCCCAAGCATCTCTGTTTATTTCCCCAAATTCTGCTCCTATTCTTACCAGAGACCATCTTATACTGAAAGGAGTTTTGACAGCAATGGGTTCAATAGGAATCATTTGCCTCACTATAGTTGTAACACATTGTACTTTAAACAGGAAAAAAAAAAGCAGACAAGAAAGAGAATGGAACAAAATTAATATGAGCAAATGTATAGGGTACCTTCCTTCTTAGATATAAGACACATGGCCTTTGTGCTTTAGAAAAACATACCAATAAAGTCAAATTAACATCAGAACTATTAAATATGCTTTGAGTTTTTGTATAATACAGATCAGATTTTTACATAGTAAACAGACAAAAAATCTGTTATAACGCTCATTTTTGGAAGGAAATTGGGAGAAACTTTTGAGCTTTGGCTATGCACAAAATAATAAAAATTTTTCTTTAAGGTAATGTCTTTAAAAGCAAAGGCAAGGGCAAGGTTGAACCAAAGAGTCAAGAAAGGCTTGTTTTATTGTGGAGGAAAAATAGCCCCAGGTAGAGGAAAGGAGGTTGGTATAACTGTCTATATGAAGTACTTGTTTAGTTACTTTGATTAATTTTTATTTCCCCTTATCTTTTCAGAATAGGTTGCTTGTTTATGATTAAAGATCAAGCTGCATTTTATATATGAAGCCCCTCTTGTAATGTTCTTCACCTCTTGCCATTTGGTTAACTATACTACAGATCAAATCCCATTGCTAGTGCTCAAAGAGATCTTTGTTCACTTTGAGAGTTAACGTTGAAATGTAGGTATATTACCCTAGTCCCCTGATATTAGTTTTGTAACAGAGGTGTATTGAATTTATTGCATATGAATTTGTATTGCCTTGGGTATTATTCAATAAAAATGGTTAAAATTCTCATAAGGCTTTAAGTAAAGAATGAAAGACATAGTTGTGAGCTTATTTTAATACATATACAGGCTATATAGTTTTATTTCAAACAAAGAAGAAGCCATGGTGGACCATGGGGGAGGGAGAAACTGACCTTTGTTAATGATTAACTGATTCTATCTTTTGTTTAAAGAAGATTCTAGGAATCCTTTCTCCATCAAAGTTTATTTACCTATGGGAGCCAGAATTGTGGGGTTGGTGAATAGAGGGTGAAGCATAGGTCAAAAGGAAATAAAAATCATCTTTCATCTAATTTTACTATCCTTATTTTTTTAAGATTATTGAGCAATAGAATAATTTGCCTTGTATATTAAAGAACTTTAAACCTTATTGGATAAATACAAATAATAAGGTGGAACAGATATATTTTAAAACCAGGACCTAAAAATGAAAATTAGATTAAGTTCTGGAGAAGCAGGAAGGGAATTGTGGGAAGCTGGAACAAGAGGAAAGAGAAAGAAGCATAGAACCTGTGTCAGAGATTCAGGAGAGTGCTGGGGAGTAAAATGACCAGCAAATCTCTGTACCAAGGCTGCCTCTTTGCAACTTAGACTATGTCCAAGGTCTGACCAGTTATATTCTAAGTCTCACAGTGCCTAAATGTATGCAGATGCAGACTTTAAGTCCCTAGGCAGCTCAGTCCCTCCTCCCTCTCTTGCCATTATGCCTGCTAGCCTGGGATTTGCTTCTCTGTAGCTTCAACGAGCTGATACTATACAATACTGAAGTGGGATGTGGTGAGTCTTAAGTCTTTAAATGTTTCCCTCATTTTATAGATAGGAGTATTAAAGGGTTAAGGGAGTAACCCAAAGCACTGTGCTAGTTAAGAGCAGAGGTATTTAGGTATAGAGCCAGGTTCTCATACTACTCCTTCACTCCTGTCTATTTAGGAAGGTGTGGGAAGATAGTGGGGATTATTCCTAGAAATGTTTAACTCTTTCAAAATCAGCAGAATGGTTCTAGCTTTAAGAAACTGAGTTCATTTGTTTTTCTATCTTGTGTGTATAGGAATGAATAAATGGACTTAAATCCAGAAATTGGTGAATTGAAAGAGGCAAAACTAATACAGATTAAAGATGCTAAAGTGGGGATCCCTGGGTGGCGCAGCGGTTTGGCGCCTGCCATTGGCCCGGGGTGTGATCCTGGAGACCCGGGATCGAATCCCACGTCGGGCTCCCGGTGCATGGAGCCTGCTTCTCTCTCTGCCTGTGTCTCTGCCTCTCTCTCTCTCTCTCTCTCTGTAACTATCATAAACAAATAAAAAAAATTAAAAAAAAATAAAGATGCTAAAGTGAGAAACTGAAATATATTATAGCAGGGTAGAAAGGATGAGCTCATAAAGTGGATAAAGCAGAAAAATGTTCAGTGGTTGTGAGGGAATGAAGCATTAGACAATAAGAAAGATGTAATAAACAGGGGAAAATATTGATTTAGAGATCCTAGCAATCATCAATATAACAGAGACACTGAAAAGGGAGGTGACATTGATCCTGACCAAATGGTAGAAAATAAAATAGACAAGAGTTGGGCCAAAGAGAATAAAGAACTATGAAACATTGGTTACTGGTGAACTACCACATGAATAGTGACATCATTAAAGATTTGATCTGAGATTGTAAGAGGAGGAAAAATGTGAGCCAGATACCAATTATCTGGGAGAATAAAGAGAAGTCTAGGGAATGAAGGTGACATAAGCAGGTATTATTATTATCTTCCAATACCAGGATGGTTGTTGTTATGCAATAAATAGAAATTTGTTTTAAAAACTGAGGGGAATATCCCCTCTATTTTTTGCCCTATTCTTTTAGGGCTAGCAAAAGAAGGTTAAATCTCAATGGGAGTGAGAGAGAAGTAAGAGATAGACAAATTTTAGGGGATGATGGGGCACTTGGGTGGCTCAGTCAGTTAAGTGTCTGCCTTCAGCTCCGGTCATGATCTCAAGGTCCTGGGATCAAGCCCTGCCTCAGGCTCCCTGCTCTATGGCCCTCTCACTCTGCCTGCCACTCTTCCTGCTTGTGTACTCCCCCTCCCCTCAAGTAAATAAATAAAATCTTCAAAAAGAAAAAGAAAAAAATTTAGGGATTGAGTTAATATAGCTTATGCACTAAGCAGATTGCTGATGTGTGCACTGTTCACTGCCCCAAAAATACATTTACATTTGCATGTTAGTACCAGAAAGTCTGTCAAAAAGTTATTTTATTTGCTTTAGGTTTTGTCTTCCGCTACAATATAATGATTCTTAGAAGTATTTATCCCTAAAAATATCATTCATTTAAAACTTAATGTGACAAATCCAATTGCACTAATGGCAGAGTTGCTCATATCAAACTAATCCTCTTGCATATTCTTAAAAAAATACATCCCTTTGAAGGTACTAGCTACCAGCAAAATTAGGTGAAACCGGTAGAAACCCTTGAAAAAAAGGAAGCAATCCAGGTGAGATCCACATTTAACTAGCTTTTCCCTCTGAAGGGATTCCCAATTTGATCACAGCATCTGGATAGAGCTTAAGCAGAAAGCAGCAGACTTACTGGATTGACAAGCCAGAGGTAAGAGCTCTGGGTTGCCAAAGCGTTTAGAAATTGAGGGAGGAGGGCAGCCCCAGTGGCGCAGTGGTTTAGTGCTGCCTGCAGCCCAGGGCATGATTTTGGAGACCCTGGATGAGTCCCGCATAGGGTTCTCTGCATGGAGCCTGCTTCTCTCTCTGCCCTCCCCCCTCTCTGAATAAATAAATAAAATCTTTAAAAAAAAAAGAAATTGAGGGAGGAAATCCCAAAAAGGGAGAAATCACAAAAGGCAATTCTTCAATCTGTATCCTCACAATACTTAAGTGAGTCCTAAACTGCAAAGGACTCTAATAGAAAACAAGAGCTTGGAGGTGAAAAGAGCTAACCAGAGATTTCAGCAACTGCCCAGTTCTGGGGAGAAAATGTTTAAAGTTCAACCCCACTCAAGTTAGAAAGCCCTGGTAAGAACCTTGTGTTTTCATTGAAGCTCCAGAAGGGTCCTATTAGGGGTAAGAACCACATCCTCAGACTAAGAGTTATGCCGTAGAACAAGAGCGAAACAAATAGATCTGCTCTGACAAAGCCTAAAACCAAGTCTCCACAGAATCAAGATGATTCACAATAATTAAACTACTGCTAGAACATAACTCAGAAAAAGAAAACATATAGAGTCTCTACAACACATCATGCAGTATCTAAGAAAAAACTGACATGCCAACAAGCAGGAAATGGGTCCCATAATTAATAAGAATAAAAATCTGTCAACAGAAGATGCAAAATTGATCCAGATTTGCAATTAGCAGACAGCCGACAATAAGTATTACAAATATGATAAAGAAATTATGGGAAAAGATAGGTGTAAGTAACAAATAGAGAAGACATTTCAGGAAAGATGCCAAAATTCTTTAAAAATAAGCAAATGATGGGATCCCTGGGTGGCGCAGCGGTTTGGCGCCTGCCTTTGGCCCAGGGCGTGATCCTGGAGACCCAGGATCGAATCCCACGTCGGGCTCCCAGGGCATGGAGCCTGCTTCTCCATCTGCCTGTGTCTCTGCCTCTCTCTGTCTCTCTCTCTGTCTCTCTGTGACTATCGTAAATAAATAAAAATTAAAAAATTAAAAAAATTAAAAATAAGCAAATGAAAATACTAAAATAGAAAAATAACAATGGATGAAAGAAGATTTTTGTAATGTATTAACAACAGACTGGTATGACAGTAGGAAGGATCAGATGACTTGAAAATAGGAAAATAGAAATCATGCAACTGAAGCATTTCATTTTTTAAAAATGAAAAAGTCAAAATGACCTGTGGAACATTATCAAGTAGTTTGGCATACATATAAATGCATCCCACAGATAGAGGAGGAAAAATGGAGCACAAAAATATTCAAAGAAATATTTGTTGAAATTTTTCCAAATTTGACTTAAGCTATCAACCCATGGACCTAAGATGCTCCATAAATCTAACACAGGATCTATGCAAAGAAAATAAGACCTCAGTATATCATAGGAATTGGAACTAGTTACTCATCAGAAACAACTGAGGCCAGAAGACAATGAAATAACATCTTTGATTACTGAAAGGAAAATATGGCAAAGCAGAATGCTATATTGAGCAAAAATTCCTTTCAAAATGAAGCAGACAAATAAGAGCTGAAATCATGTTCACCAGCAAGAAATACCAAATTTCTTTACTCTAAAGGAAAAATGATGTCTGGTGAAAATACAGAGCTACAGTATGGAATGAAGATCACTGGCAATGATAACTAGGTAAATGTAATATATTGTTGGTTTTCTTTACTTTTAATTCCTTTAAAAGACAATTAACTGTTTAAAGTAAAAGTAAAAACAAT